GATACCACTCAATGTAGTAGAGGAAATTAAAGAATTCAATTTGGTTTGATCATCTGATGATGGACCAGCAGTACAAGTCCAAGAGAATGTAAGAGGACGACGATCAAGAGAAACAGAATCAAATGCATTCAAATTCAAAACATCACATTGGGAAACAAGAGACTTGTCAGAAGTCAATGCAGAAGTTGGTGCTAAAGCAACAAATTCACCAGCAGAAACAACAGCATTAACAGTTGAGCTAGAGTCACCAATCAATGAATAAAGAGTTAATGAATCACCAGTAACAATGGTAGCACCAACACCTAAAATAATTTCAATAGATGATTTACCATCCATGTTACAAATTGGACCAGTACCAAGCTTGGAGAGAGATGAAATAATTTGAGAACAGGCAACTTGAGTCTTGACAGCATTATAAATGGTAGCAGTAATTCTATCACCATTAGCATTGAACTTGAAAGAAGATGTATCAACCTTGTAATTACATCCATCACCCAAGAAACCATTAAGACATTTAGCAGATGCACAATTGAAAGAAGGATCAAAATTACCATTACAAGTACAAGAACCAGTATTGGTACATGAACCGTGTGAATTACATGTCTTGGCAGCTGAGCAAGAAATATCACAATTTGCACCAACAAATCCAGTGGCACATGATGAACAATAATCACCAATGAAATTACCAGTACAGACACACTTGAAATTAGAATCACAAGTACCATGAGAATTACATGTATCAGTTGCACTACAAACTGGAGTAGTACATGAAGAACCAGTGTATGCAGGACTGCAACTAGTACAAGTATTATTCTTATTGTTCCAATTGGTAACACATTTACAATTGTCTGGACCAATACATGAACCTCTTGTACTTCCACCACAGACATTACTGTCAGTCTTTGAAATACCATAACAAGAGAAGGTTTGACAAGCAGTGCCTGAATATCCTGATTTACATTTACAAGTGTTTGGACTAATGCAAGAACCTTGACCTCCACAAACAGTACTATCAGTGGCAGAAATTAAGAAACATACTGGAACATCACAATTTGATCCAACATAACCACTCTTACATTTAGAACAGAATGTTGATGAATCAAAATTACCATTACAGATACAAGAATCAGTAGTATTACAAGATCCACGGAATGAACAACCACCCAAAACATCACTCTTACCATTACATGTTGGAAGTTCACATTTTTCTCCTGTGTATCCTGTTTTACATGTACAACTATTTGGAGCAACACATGAACCTCTTCCTGAACAAACTGATGAATCAGAACTAATCTTTGAGAAACAAACTGCCTTTTCACAATTGCTTCCAGAATAACCATTTGCACAATTACAAGTATCTTGAGAAATACATGATCCTTTTCCTGAACATACAGTAGCATCCTTAATTGATTTACCAAAACAAGTGGTAGTGGAAGGAAGGTAGACACCGTAGTTACAGTTGGAGTCAGGGAATGAGTCACATGTAGCATTCATTGGATAACTAAAATTAGCAATAGTACTAGCTTGAGTATACATGATTTGACATGCAGATTTACACCATGGAACAGCAGTTGAAGTAGTATTAATACAAGACTTGAATGTAGTATAACATGCATATCTCTTAATATGAATCAAGCAATCAGCAGTTGCACAATTAGGATTATAAGAAGATCCAGTTAAGAAGGTAGCATTAGCTTGGGCATCTAATTGAGCTAAACTAGCAGCAAGCATACTAGCAGCTTGGCTTTCACTCTTAGCACCATTCATTAAATTAACATTATACAATGGGAGAACAACTCCAGCAGAGGCACAGAAAGGAGTTGAAGATGAGGACATTACATTTACACAGGCAGGAGTGAGAGAGTATGGAATGATAACTTGTTCACAATTAGCACCAGTATAGCCACTTGCACAATTACAAGTTCCATTTGAACAAGATCCACGACCAGAACAAGTTACACCAACACACTTGGCATCTACATAGTTAATATCATTGGTACAATATTTAGATGGAAGAGATCCACACAAACTTGTCAAATTAACATTTGGAAGTGGATATGGACTAAGGGCAGTAGTACAAGCACCATTACAAACTGGCATGTAAGTATTTGCAGAACAAATTGGGAATTGTGAATAGCAAGCATATCTCTTATAGGCAAGACGGCAAGCATCATTGGTACAAGCTTTGACGAATGCTTGAGACATTAACAAGGCAGCATTATCTAGTTCTGAAACAGCTTGAGCACTGACAACGCTTTCATTAAGCGCACCATTATATTTAGCAAGAAGATTATAACCAAGTTCAGAAACAAAATTCATAATATTAGGAGTTACACCAACTGAGGCACAGAATGGAGCTGTGGAAGCTTGCATTAAGCTTTGACACATAACTGCACTGTATTTTGAACAAGTAGGTCCATAATAGAAATAATCGGTACTATAACTACAGATACACTTGCCTGCAGAGCAAATACCATATTGACAAGTGATATTCTTACATGGATCAACAACGGTTCCATTATTATTGGAAGTACCATTATTAGATGTACCATTATTGTTGTTAATTGTTCCATTGTTATTAACAGTACCATTGTTAGCAGTACCATTATTATTGGTTGTACCATTATTGTTAATAGTTCCATTATTATTAACAGTACCATTGTTATTAATTGTACCATTATTGTTGATTGTACCATTGTTAGTTCCATTGTTAGATGAAAGACTTTGACACATTGATCCACTGAAACCATTATTACAAACGCAAGTATTGTCTTCAACACATTTACCATTAGCGCTACAAGTAGATGGATTTGTTGAAGCAATACCATAACAGGTATAATATCTTTGAGAACAATTACTTCCATAGTATGGAGCAGTACAAGTACATCCCTGGAAAGTGCAATTACCATGTCCTGAACAAGTTAAGTTGGATGATTGAGGAATTCCATCACAAGTGGCTTCCTTTTCACAATTAGTACCACCAAAACCATGCTTACAATCACAATAACTTCCCATAACACATGAACCACGTCTACTACAAACATTTGGATCAGTATCGAGGAGACCATTACAAAAACTGTGTGAAGATTGACATTGTTGACCATAAGCAAGAGTCCAACCTGTAAGACCATTTGAAGTACCAAGAGAATAGGTATTTGTACCAGTGGATGAGTAAATTCTGAATACACCATCATTTCCCATACTGTAAACAGGAGTGGTTGTATTAATTGCCATATTAGAATTGAAATCTAAGAGTTGAGTGTTACCTTCAACAAGAACGTGACCATTTGCTGTAATTGTGAGATATTCAAGTAAACTAGTAAAAGTAGTAATTGGATAAGTCCAAATAGTGACACCACCACAAATTCCTACCAATGGATATACAGTTTGATTATTTACAACAGTAGCAACTTGACGAAGGGAACAATTGAAATTTGGAGAATTAGCAAAAGCATTAGTAACAACATCACGATAGAGAGTAGCACCACCATTAACAATATTCATGTAATCATAGGAACAATCACACAAAGTACTATTGGCACAGAAACCTTTAGAGTTACAAGAATTGACATCTTGACATACCCAACTATAAACATCACAATTCTTACCAGAATAATTTGGATTTGTACATTGACAAGTATCTTGGGAAATACATTGACCAAATCCATTACAGACACTAGGAGAACTTTCAGAAACATTTCCACAAGTTACATTACAATATGGAGCTTGACCAATAGTGCATGAACAAGAATCTGGAGCAGCACATGAACCTCTTCCTTTACAAACGTTAGCATCAGTAGAAGGTAAACCATAACAAATAGGGGTTGAGCAATCAGATCCAGTCCATTGAGTTGTATTGTTACAAGTACAACCAGTAGAACCACACTTTCCCTTACCACTACAAACATTAGCATCAGTATTTACAATACCATTACAATAATACAATGAATCTTGACAACTAGTACCAGCAAAATCTTGATATTTAACTGATGAATCGAAAACATTACTGTTCCAACATTCTGCACCAGTACTATCTAAAACAGAGATTAAACCATCCTTTCTAAAGAAGAAATAGAAAGGACCAGTTCCATTACAAGCAGCAGAATTAACACCACCGTTACTAGTGAGAGCAACACAATCAATCTTATCACTTTGACACATTCCTAAACTACCATCAATTTTGAGAGTGAGGTATTGATATCCACTACCAACATCTTGAGTCAAAATACTTTGATTCTTTACAATAACATTTACATTAGTACCATCAAAAGTAATTTTGGAAACATAGGTAGTATTACCAGAAATGAAAGTATAGGATGGTTCTTCTCCATCACTTGAACCTAGAGTATAGAATGAAAGGGAAGAGTTAGCAACCATAGTATTGGCATTATTATTCAAATCATAGTTGAGAGTTGTCAAACATTGACAAGAATCACCTGTGGTTGAACAAAAACCTCTACCATTACAAGAATCTGTACCTGTACATTCAAATGCATTAGTATTAGAAGCCAAAATGGACAAGATAACTAGGGTCACAAGCATACAAACAGTAACCTTACAGAGTTTTACTCTGTTAGAGACCATACAGTAGTCAAGAGACATTTTTTTGTTTGAATTGTAGTAATAGCATCCAAAGTGACCTTTTTAACTTGTTTGTGAATTTTGTATCTCGAGTATCGAATAAAGTTTTGTATGTTGTAAACTATTGCTTACTTGATGGTGATAGATGACATTAGGATACTACTAACATGAACTAAACTACTCGCGAATCTTCCATTTATGGAATGCAATACAAAACTGTAAGAGAAATTGCTGATACAATATTATCCAAGGATATTTGTTTTGGAATTTAGAGAACCATTCTGGAATTTTAATGTTCATAGTAATGCATCTCGTCTCCAATACACTTCAGTCGATAATTAGATTGAATGATAAATTGGTTAACAGATAGTGATTAAACTTCTTTTGATACCAATTGCTCTTAATTGTTGATTCCTCGATGGTTTCAACAGCAATATTCGTTGAAAATGTAGCGTACGAAGAATAATCGTGATGGGAAGAGATTGTAGATATCACCAATTAGATGAACACGGCCACAATATTCTATACATTATTTAAATTAAATATTGTGATGAAGAGATGCAACTGGTAATCTCTGAATGTTGATGAGTGTATTTTCATGCCTAGACGCTGCTTGTTAAAGTTGAACTCTCTCTTGATGACGATGATTGAATTGGATACAATAGACGAAGCCGCCATCTGGTGAAGTCTATTTATTTTATCAAAATTAATAATGATGAAAGTCTATTTAATGCATTGTTGTTTTTTTCTTGATTTTGAAAACGCAACGGTTTTTGGTGGTAAATGCATTAAAAATATTTATAAAAAATATTTTTAAAATCAACAAATGTAATTTGTGGTAATGCTGATTTTAGGAGTGGTTTCACATCTTGAAGCTATCAAACTTTCACATCACCATCTCAACATCTGAATAGTAATAATAGTAATTTTTATTATCATTATGAAATTGGAATTTATTTTTCATCATGATGGAAAATCACAACCTGGTGCCATTATCCGATCATTCACCAACCATCATCAATACTATTGTTTCATTATCAATATAATAATAGTATTTGTGGAAATTTAATTTTTAGTAATGTAATTTTGGTGAAATGTCAAAATTTTCACTAAATTCATCATCACTGCTGGATCTACTGGACAACTTGGAAAACTGTCAATGTAGTATTGTTCGGAATGGTCAATAGTAGGTAAGAGAGCTTTCTCTTATCAATTTTGGTCAAGTTTGATAGGGATTGGTACATGTGAATTTTGAAAAAGTACATGGACCATAACTCAACATGTACTTCACCAACTTGAATCGTCTTTTAGTACTACTATTTAAATAGATAATAAACATCATATTTATTATCAGATGAATGAAAACATTGTTTTAACAATAAAACAACAACATTTTCAACACGTGTTGAATATTAACATACTACAAGGATTAAAAGAATTTAATGACATTTTGGACAATAAGATGGAAGCACATAATCACTATCAGTGTTAAAAGGCAAAAAGTCCCAACATTCACTTGAAATAGTTTCCAAATTATTCAATTGACCTTTGGTGTCTCTACTTTCAATTCTAGTATCGGAATAAACAATAGCACAATTATAATCTGATGGATATGGATCTGGATATGGAAGTGGTTGGGGTTTAGTTTGAACTGGTTGAACGACCATCACATCAATTTGTGTAGTATTGGAGTGCAATTGCTTTGTACGAACGAATTTCTGGGATTTAATATGATCTTCACTCTTAATTCCGATATCAACATGTCCTTCCAATTGATAATCAGCATCAACACATGAAACCATCAAGTAAGCAGCTTGTCTAGTCAATTGTTTACAGGAACAAGTAGTTTTGTTAAAAACATATTCCACACCAAAGTTAGATGGATAAGTATCCATGAAACCTAATGTAGTTTCATCACTCACCACCTTTCCATTCACTTCAATTTGTAAATCTAAACGATAACGACGATGGAAGAAATCTGGCATGTGTTTTTCACGAATAATCTTCATTCCATCAAAGTGACAATCACCATTTGATGGATTACAGTTGGAAAGTCCCATTCTAGTGACTTTGGCGTGGACAGTGTGAGCACGAGGCATACAGCAAGTATACTTTGGAGTCTTTATGTTAATCTTGGAGTTTTGGCCATGAGAGATGACGGCCAAGGTCATTAACAAGACAGCAATGATGGCAAGGTGGAGTGTTTGCATTTTTTTGTTGAGTGTTATCGAGAGATGTTCAATGCTTGCGCCTGATTTATGCACACTGTGTTTGCGGAGTAAAATTTGTTACAACGGAGAATCTGCGGGAGCAGGAGTTGAAATAATTTTACGCAAGGATTTTTGATACTTCTTCTATAATTTGTACAGTCAACACAACATTTATTTGAAGTTAATTTGATTTTGCATCTGACATGTTCAAGCTGAGTCGTTTCTCTCTCAACTGAAGCCATTCATTATACCACGATCTATTAGGATATAATTTAGTATTCTCCTCAATGGCCAAATTATATTTCATAGCATCCACAAATTGGGAAGTATCCATCAGACCATCCTTTGTACTTTTTTCCTTACGAAGGCGAGTAATTTGTTGCTCGAAACCTTTCTTATAATCCTTAGCTCTCTTCAACATGATTACTTTGAGCATTAAGGAAGGATTTAGAGGCAACTTCAAATCAGTATACACAGTGTGAATGAAACGAGTTTCATTATCACTGACCTTATAGAACATGTAGTAAAACATGAGTTGAGCTGGGATGCAATCTTCTCTAGTTTCGATTAGTGAACAAGTGTGTCCTGCAACCATGATCATGTTAAGTTCTGGATCTCTGATTGCTGTCATGGTGATTGGTAAATCTCTCTTCTTCATGAATGGAATTGGGAATTTCGTACAACATGAAACTTGTTGATTCGAATAATTTGGTTTTCCTTCAGCTTCAGATACAGGTGAAATGTAATCCATTAATTTGAAAGTTTCTGCACCTCCCATAGGATCTATCACCTTATGGAGATCTATATTCCAGAAGCATGCCCAGACTTCTTCAATTGGATATGGTACACGAGTGACAACCTTACTCAATCTCAAACCTTTCAATGTTTCAGTATCGAATACATAGGAAGTTTTGGATTGGTACAATTCACAGGTATTCTTCTTATCTGAATAGGTCAATTCCCAATCAGGTGTGTCCTCAGCGAGGGTGAAACCAAAGTAAATAAACTTGTCATCAATGGTTGAATCTTGTAAATGATGAGGTTTGAATCGAATATCTAATTGGAAACCTTTAGAAATATCTGTTGCAATGGCTCTGGTGAATCGTTCTCCTTTCGACTCGAGGAATTTCATTAACATTTCAGATCTGGAAAATCTTGGAAATTGATCAAACCTCAAATCCAAATTCACACTAAACATTGCAAGTCCAAACAATGTATCAGTTTCCAACATGGAAATGATTTTCGAAAGTTTCTCAACCTCCAATCTTTCCTTGTCCAATTTTTCAAAACTTTCACAAACTTTTGTTTCCCAAAGTTCTCGAATCTTATCCTTGTTAGCAAAGGCCAAATTCAACTCGAATTGACCTCCTTGAAACACAAACTGATCAAGAATACCCCTTGCTTTCGAATAGATTTCCACAATCTTGGTATGAACTTGCTTTTTATCAACATTTTCACCACAAATAACATTCTCGAATTTCTTGTTATATTCCGCACGATATTCTTCAACTTGATTCATGAACATGAGAGATTCCACCGAACGATTAAGCTGCAAATATTCATAGAATAAATCACGAGTTTCTTTCGAATCCATCATTTCTTCAAAAACAATGGCATAATTCGAAACATCAAAGTCACTATTCACACTGCTAGGTCTTTTCTTTGAAGAGGATGTAGAAGAAGATGATGTATTGGTTGGTGTTGACGAGGAAGGAGACACAACGGTTTCGTCTAACGTTTTATTCCTCTTGAATTTCATAGCTTACGTTGTTTTAATTTTTTAAAGTGTGTGAAAGACGTCAAAGCTTGTGATTTTACAATTTAAAATGGCGATTCTGGACGAAAGAAGGAACAAGTTTATTTATTTGACTTGAAAAGTGATACTGTGCACAATTCTTTACCTTAGAAACCAAGTGATGAAAGGACAATTGAAACCTAAATTCTAACAAATTGGAAGTAGTTTCCAATGATTATTCAAGTTCTAGACTAATCTAAACTACGGTAGTTGATTGTGACATTATGTTGTTGGAGATGACACTGTTCAACATCAACACATGGTATTGATTTTGCCGAGAGATAATCTTGTTGGCCAAGATGTCAGCAGTCTCTCTGTTGAAAATGTTAAGCTATGATTAATGAAATATATCGCTGGTTAATTGACTGAACTTCAATTTATTCCAAATTCCGAATTGTTGTTGATGTTCAAATTTGTGAGGAGCTAAGCTTTGACGTCAAAGAAATTGAACATGTTGTAAGTGTTCAATTCAATGAAGCAGTTGTGCTGTTTTAATACTCGGAACAGGTTAAATTAGTACTAAATTAACGGATTTTGTTTCAAAGTGTAGATTGCCATCAATTCATAATTGAAAACAGCTGTTTGATATTCATCATAATTAATAATTTTTAATAATTTGATGAAGAACTCATGATGATGGTGTTGCCTTTATTTTCCCAACAAGAAAATAATTTCCAATTCCATGATGTTGACCCAAATCTTTAAGATTTCCATTACCACTACCATTCAAGTGTTGTTGAGCAAATACTATCCACTTCCTAGACCTTCCCGATGAAAAACCATTCCGACAACGATCAATTCACTTCCGAGACAGTACATAATATTTTGTTAATATAATAACAATATTTTCGCGCTTAATTTTTTTTTTAAAATTTGAAAAAAATCAAACAAAAGAAAATACAACATGTTCAATCATATGGGATTGGTGCGAAGATTTGGTCATTCGTTTGGTTATCATATGCATGGACGGGATTATTCTTCGAGTGATGATGACTCTGATTATTACTCTGATGAAACTCAACAGGATATAAATCAAAAGGCAGAGGCTTGGCCAACATATACATCAGAGGAATTATTACAACATTTAAAGGAGATGAGAAATAGAGTGATAAATCAAGCCTCTTACCGAAAGGAGCCATGTAAAACACTTGTACAAAATTTAATTGAAATGTATAAAACAGTATCAAATGGAAAGGAGTGGAGTTTTGGCTGTACTGAAGATGATACTTTTAAAATTGAATCAAGCGATGATGAAATGATTGTAAATTACAAAATATGTATGATGGCTGCCGAGGCACTTCCGAATGCTTTCCTATTTGAAGAAAATAACCAGAACACAGCAAGAGGATTTTTAAAGCATATCTATTGTTTGGATTCTACATTCGGAACAAACATGTTAAATTTCTTGAATGTGGCAATAGGTCAGACTGAACAGCCAATAACACTTTATACCACACAATCAATGAAAATACCTGATTGGAAGATTTCACTCTTTGTGGCAACCATCAAGATTGCAGAAGCAGGTGTACCAAGTTTACAGGTCAAATATTTCTTAAAACATTTCAAGTCTCTAATAGTTACCTATTATAATGCATCTAACTGGGAAGGTAGTTATATTGATATGAATGACATGGATTGCATATTATTAGATTTAATTTACAAGTCAAAAGATGAGGATCAAAGATCAATGTGTATAACAAGATTAGGAAAGACTGCTTATCAACATATAGACAATCCAAAAATACCTTCAATTCGTGAGGCTTATAAATCAGCCAAAGATTTACATCCCTTCTTTACTCTCTATCAGGAAGTTTCATATGATATCAATGTTATAGAAAAAGAAAGCATCAAAATATTTCCAAAAGAGGAAAAGTACAAGAGAGTTAGAAAGATAATTTCTATAATGGAAATAATTGATCAAAGAGGTGATAATAATATTGTTGAAAGCATTTCAAGCTTCTTAACGAGACTATTGAAATATTCTGATGAAGAATTAGTAATAGATTGTTTGAGAGCTCTTTCATCACCGAGTAATAATCAAAGGTTAGTAGTGGATCATATTATTTCTTGCTAACATGTTTTCAACAGAAATTTTTCTAGATGTAAGAATGTTGTTCAAGCTATATTGCCATTGCTAGAAAGGGAATCTTTAATAGTAAGAGAGGAGGCATATAATTGTGGTGCCAAACACTTGACATTTGATTATGCATACGACTCTCAGATAATGCACAAGATTTTGAAAGCCTTTTCTCTCAATCCAATACCAAAAGTTAATTATCTGAAAATATTCACAGCAGCATTTAAGTATTGTTGTACAGAAAGTATTTTTTCAGAAAAAGCTCTCGAGGTTATTCAAAAAGTAGCTGAATGTATGAAAGAGCAGGACTATTTTTTACAGGTTGCCGACAGTATTCAGGCCTTGCTGAACATACCTGCTCTGCCCTCTGTTTTTAGTGAGACACTTGTACGTCCACTTGATGAGATTGTTCGTGGAGCAATAGATTCTAAATCTTTGGAAGTAGTGGATATTGTTCAAAAATTGGTTGAGTCCTTGTTGAACACAGAGCTTACTAAGTTGGTTTTCAAAAATTTAGGAAATATTGTCCATAGAAACAATCTACCTGAAACAAAAGAATGCGAGGATCGATTGAATGAAATATCAAAGCATTTTCAAATTCCAGAAATGTTGGGTTTTTTAGTTGAGAATGATAGAGAGTTATCACCAATTGTAGTGAGCTTCTTTTTTGATGTCAAATTTTTTAAGGGTGTTCGTATTCATCCTGAAATAGGAAATGAAGAAGTTATTGTTAAATCTCTTGCCAAATCCAAATCTAAAGACGCTCATATCACGTTGGGACGTATTTTGAACAATTATTTTCTTTCAACAGGTGTCGCGATACTTCCTCAATCAGAAATTGACAGACTTATTAATGAAAAATTAGAATGTCCTCAAATACATGAAATAGAGAATCAAAGATTCATCTATTCAGTTGCTCATTTTGGAGATTTTGGAAAGATTTCCACTGGCATGGGCCAGTTTGGCTGTCCCTGTGGATTCCTCTATGAAAATGATACCGATGTATTATCTGAGCTTGTTTTAACAAATTTTTTAAATATTTTAGAGCACAATCTAGATGTAAGACCAAAACATTTGAATGTTGATGACATTTTTGATGCTATAACAGATTGCATTTCATTCAATGAGTCGAGAAGCCTGTATGTGACATCCCTTTTGAAAAGGATTACACAGCAATTAGAAGTACAGGTTAACACAGACAGCATGGAAGAAGACACATCTGATGAGGATTATAACTCTGATGATTCTGATGATCTTGATATGGGTTATATATATGGTAATTACTATGATGAAGATGATGACGATGATGATGATTCTGATGATCACATTTTTTAGTATTAAAATGATATTGTCTCAATATATTTTGTACACACCTTAAATCATTGAGTTTATAATCGATTGAGATAAGTGACAATTTACGGCTTACATTCTAATTGCAGACTAAAACCTAATCTATTAGTGTTTTTGTCACTAGTCAAGGGCGGATTACTTTCCATTCTAATTTTTTCACACTAACAAAGCCAACGTTGGACAGATTGACATGTTGCTTTAGTCAAGAAATACCGAACATCACCTAACAAAAAAAAACCCTTCACTTCTTAACAGAAGTTATTTCATCATCTTCACTTTTCGTATCAACAATGATGAGAAGCAATAATAATAATGGGTTTTCTCGTATTGGAATGACAAGGAGGAAACAATCTTCTCCGGGTAATCATTCCTTTCTGATGAATATAATTTTATATGCATCAATTTTGTCAACTTGTTTCATCATGATGTTTTTATTCCATCAAGACCAACAACAAATATTCGAAACTAAAGAGAGTTTCCTTTTCACACAAGCACAAGAATCCAACAACAATACACTCATCTATTGCTTTGGAAAATTGTCAAACACAACCCAAGTTTGTAACGGAAGAGGAAACTGTACCGAACAAGATAATTGTGAATGTGATCCAGATTGGTATGGCACTCAATGTCAAATCACCTCCTGTTTTGGAATATTACAGAATGAAACAAGTGCTGTATGTAATGGGCATGGAACTTGTTCTGGTACTGATACTTGTTCATGCTCATCAAATTGGTATGGAATTGATTGTAATGTTACCTCCTGTTTTGGAATATTACAGAATGAAACAAATTCTGTTTGTAAAGGAAATGGAGATTGTATCGATACCAATGTGTGTAAATGTGATGATGGATGGAGTGGTACTCAATGTGGCACTCCTTCATGCTTTGGAATAGTTCAGAATGCCTCAAATGTCTGTAATTCACATGGTAATTGTACTGATTTGGATACTTGTAATTGTAAAGCCAATTGGTTTGGAAATGATTGTAATGTTACTATTTGTAATGGAATTTTACAAAATGATACTACTGTTTGTTCAGGAAGAGGAACTTGTGTTTTTACTAATCAATGTCAATGTCCACAAGGTTACACAGGAAATAATTGTGAAATTCCAATATGTTTTGGAGTGAGTACCTTTAAAAATATCTCATCAGTTATTTGTTCAGGGCATGGTAACTGTATTGATACTGACACATGTCAATGTAATTCGACATACACTGGGCCAAAATGTCAATATCCAATTTGCTATGGAATACCTTCCAATAATACAGCAAATGCTTGCTCTGGATCTGTGAGAGGTACCTGTACTTCACCGAATACTTGTTCCTGCAATACTGGTTATACTGGTTCTGAATGCCAATACAATATTTGCTACGGTTACTATTATCCATCACCAAATGTTTGTTACAATAAGGGAGATTGCATTGCTCCGAACAGTTGTAACTGTACTGCCACCAACTATACAGGACTTGATTGTTCCTATGAATTGTGTTCGCCATCTCTACAATGTTGGAGAAGACATGGTTCTTGTGCTTCAGAAACATATTGTTCATGTAATACTGATTGGACTGGAATTTCGTGCAACATTCCAATTTGTTACTCTTACAATGCAACTGATACAGCAAATGTTTGTTCAAACCATGGAACATGTACTTCTGCTAATACATGCTCTTGTGTTACTGGCTGGAGAGGAGCTGCCAATTGCTCAATATTCTCGTGTGATTCGCGCAATTATTGTTCATCTCATGGTGACTGTATTGGACCCAATAATTGTTCTTGTTATGCTGGTTGGAAGGGAGATACAAGTTGTAATTCAGTGAGTTGTGAGCTAGTTGGAGGTTGTTATGGACATGGAATATGCAGCAGCCCAAATACCTGCACCTGTAATTCAGGATGGAGAGGAGCTAGTAATTGCTCAATATTCTCGTGTGATTCGCGCAATTATTGTTCTGGGCATGGTGAATGTGTTGGTGCAAATACTTGTTCATGTAATGATGGTTGGAAGGGAGACACAAGTTGTAATTCAGTGAGTTGTGAGCTAGTTGGAGGTTGTTATGGACACGGAATATGCAGCGGTCCAAATACCTGCACCTGTAATTCAGGATGGAGAGGAGCTAGTAACTGCTCTGAATTCACTTGTGACGGAACTAATTATTGTTCAGGACATGGTACGTGTACAGGTGCTAATACATGCACTTGTGAAAGTGGATGGAAAGGAAATGCAAATTGCTCAGCAATTAGTTGTGATGCCTTAAGTAATTGTGGAGGTGCCAGTAAGGGTACTTGTGTTTCGAATAACACTTGCAGTTGTAAAACAGGTTGGAGAGGTGCTGTCGATTGTTCAGTTTTCACTTGTGATCAAAGAAATTACTGTTCTGGACATGGTACGTGTACAGGCGCAAATACATGCACTTGTGATAGTGGATGGAAAGGTAATGCAAATTGTTCAGCAATCAGTTGTGATGCATTAGGAGCTTGTAATGGACACGGTACTTGTATTTCAAATAATACTTGTAATTGTAACAGTGGATGGACAGAAGCTAATTGTAATACTTTTACTTGTAAGGATAGAGATTTCTGCTCAGGACATGGTACGTGTACAGGCGCTAATACATGCAACTGTGTTAGTGGATGGAAAGGTAACTCGAATTGTTCGGCAATTACTTGTGATGGTGTTAATTCATGCTCTCAAAATGGTCAATGCATTGGAAATAACACATGCGAATGTAGGTCTGGTTGGACAGGAGCAAGTTGCAATGTTTTCACTTGTGATGCCTCTTCAAATTGTAACAGTAATGGCTTGTGTATTTCCAACAACACTTGCCAATGTTATAGTGGCTGGAAAGGCAATGCAGAATGTTCCCAATTCTCATGTGATGGTGTTAGTGGCTGTTCTCAAAATGGAGTATGTATTGGAAATAACACATGTCAATGTAGATCTGGATGGTCTGGACCAAAATGTGACATTTTCACATGCGATGGTGTGCTTAATTGTTACGATCATGGTTTATGTATTTCAAACAATACTTGCCAATGTCAAAGTGGATGGAAAGGAAGTTCCAATTGTTCAGTTATTAGTTGTGACGGAGTTAATTCTTGTTCTCAAAATGGTCAATGTATTGGAAATAACACATGCCAATGTAGATCTGGCTGGACAGGTTCAAATTGTAATACTTTCACATGTGATGCCTCTGACAACTGTCATGGAAATGGCTTGTGTATTTCCAATAATACTTGTCAGTGCAACACTGGATGGAAAGGCAATGCAGAATGTTCTGCCTACTCATGTGATGGTGTTGCATATTGCAGCTCTCAGGGAAATTGTACTGGTGCCAATTTATGTAATTGTACCTCTCAATACACAGGTTCCAGATGTGACATTCCAGTTTGTTACTCACTCTCGGCTCTAGATCCAAATGTCTGTTCCAATAATGGTAGCTGCGTTGCACCAGATACATGCCAATGTCTATCTGGTTTTTCGTCTGGTGGACAATGTAACAAACCAATTTGTTATAATAGAACCTTTGATGATCCAACACAATGTAATGCAAAAGGTATTTGTACTTCTCCAGACGTTTGTTACTGTACAGATTATAATTACTATGGAAAGAATTGCACAGATTACAATTGTTATGGATTGAACTATCTCAATAATACTGTGTGCTCTGGATTTGGTAAATGTATTTTACCAAATAATTGTTCATGTAATTTAGGATATAGTGGAAATAACTGTCAATATGTTTCTTGCTTTGGAAATAATACTTCACAAGATTCCAAGTTTATTTGTAGTGGAAAGGGTTCATGTATTTCTCCTGATAAGTGTTCTTGTGTTACAGGATACACTGGAGACAAGTGCCAATACCCAATTTGTTACGGAATCAATTCAACTATGCCATCAGTTTGTTCAGGTTTTGGTCAATGTATTGACACTGATTTGTGTTCATGTGGCTATGGATATGGCGGTTCAAATTGTGAAATCTTCAAGTGTGAAAATATTCTTGCCAACTCTTCAAATGTTTGTAACCAAAGAGGAAGCTGCATTGGTGTCGATTTCTGTAATTGTACTTCAACATACTCTGGTAATAATTGTCAATTCTCAACGTGTTTCGGAAAGAATTCAACCGATCCACAAGTTTGTAATGGAAAAGGTCAATGTAATTCTGAAAATACTTGCTCTTGTCAAGTACAAGGTTACTTTGGAGAGGAATGTACTCTGTACCAATGCTATTCTTTGTACTTTAATGATACATTGAATGTTTGTTCTGGACATGGTCAATGCAAATCGCCAAATAATTGCGAATGCACAAATGGTTTCACTGGAGAAAATTGTCAAACACCAATTTGCTTTGGTGTGAATGCAACTTCTTTGGATGTTTGCTCACAAAATGGTATCTGTAATAGTCCTAATACTTGTGAATGCAGTTATCCATGGTTTGGTAAGAATTGTAATATCACACAATCTCCAATTACAGTCTCACTTAAAATTGGAGGTTACACGGTAGAGAGTTATAGTGTCTACAACAATATTTCTAGTTTGTCACTTCATGCTGTTCTAGGTGAGATTCTTCCACAACCATACTTGTTGGAAAATGTGATTTACAATTGGACATGTACTAATTGTCAAGGAAATAATGGAAGTGATTATCTTTCAAATATTACTCAATCAATTGCCCTATTCAATGTTTATGTATTACCAACAGGAACTTTCAATCTTGAATTGTCGGCTATGGCTGTAACCTCAGAGGATGGTGTTTTCTTCTACAGACAATCAAACACATTTAGTTTTAATATTACCATTATTCAAGTGCCAGAATCATACTCTGTATCTGTTGTTGGTGTGAAGGAAGCTTACACAACCAATACCTTACCAACTAGTTTGGATATTGTTGTACCGACAGTTTCTTTGAATCAAAGTGCTTTGGTAAGATTCTTGGGATGTAACAATGGTGGTTGTGCAGCAAAGAAAGTTGAATACTCACTTGTCGTTAGATTCAATCAAACTCTTAACATGTTAGACATTTCTGGAAATGTAACCATTGTTCCAAACTCTGCTCTTGATGGATTTACTTGCTCTCCATATCTTTCCTATTCTGTTTCCAATTTCAAATCGCAAATTACAAATCTCACACAGAACACTGCTGAAGAATCAATTTTGGAAATTATTTTGGAATTTAGAAATCAGGACAGTAATTCCAGTTTTTCAATCACCTCAACTTATCCAATCATCCCACCAGCATCAGCTCCAAAGAATACAACAAAACTCGTCACTATAATGCCAACTCAAGGTATGGCACTTATTGAAAATTTCGTTTTCACAGTTCAGGAATGGTCAGCTGCCGATTCTCTCAAACCACTCACGTATGCTTTAGGTGTTTATGATTCTACACAACAAAAACCTGTCAGAATCACTTCATACACTACTAATTCCACTTTCAGTTCCATTCTTCCTTATTTGACTCAAACAAAGAAGAGTAGAAGCACCAACGATGAGACTGTCACTGTTATTCTCTTTGTTGCCGATAAGTATGGTAATGAAGAGTGGACATATTCTTCAACAGTCACAGTTTCGCCTTACAATGGAACAGTTTCGGAATTATTGAATTTATTGAGTAGTGCTAGCTCTTCTGAGCAATCAGTTCTTTACTCTTATGATACATCCATTTCTACTCGATCAATTTCAACCAATGAATCACAAGCCGTTTTGAATCAATTAATTGACAATGTTCAATTTGATATTAAGAATCCACAAAGTGCATTGGATTCTTTCCTTACCATTACTTCAGATCCTTCAAAGATGAGCTCTGAAATGGTCGACAAGGTAAACACCAAGTTAGCCAATTTCGTTTCAAATGTTACAGCTCAATATTTAGAAGAAAAGGCATTGTATTCATTTGTCAAGACAAAGATTTTGGATTCAACTGTCACATTTTCAACACTAAAACTTGTTTCAAATTTATTGGAAACTGGACTAAACTCTGAAAAGGTGGAATCAACTGCAGAAAGTACAGCTGATACAGCTCTCATTGGTGAAATTCCAACATTGGTTACAACTGGATCAGTTCCAACTCTTTCATTTGCAACTGATATGGTCAATATTACAATTTCTGCATTCTCTCTGGATAAGTCAACTCCAACAACTACCAATCAAACTCTTTCAACTGGTATTAATCAAGTTAGTTTGGATATGAATTCTATTTTCCAACAAATTTCAAATGAAACAACTGGATCCTTTGGCTTATCATTCATAGCCTACTCTATCAACTCAAAGGTTGATTCCTTCTCAAAGAAGAGTTATATTCTTGCACCTCTAACGGAATTCACACTCAGTATGTCAGACAGTCAAGTTGAATTGAGAAATCTCAAAAATCCTATTGCTTTGACGTTCTCTCTCGACAAGACATCACTTTCTACCTTGACATCAAATAAGAATATTACCAATACCACAATGGAGTGCAGATATTGGAATGAAACCGAAAATGCTTGGTTAGGAAATGGTTGTTACGTCTCTTCATTTGTTAATGGTGATGTTGTTTGTAAGTGTGACCATACCACAAGATTTGGTACTTTCTTGCAATTCAATTTGACTAGTGCTGTTAATAGTAGCTACAAATTACAAGTTGCCAGTTATTACATTGCTGAAATAGTTTTTGGAGGAATTTATGGAATTGTGGCTGTTATTGTTTTGGTATTGCTCACAATATTTAAAAATAAGCAACCTATTAAGAGTAGACTTGTTGCTCCATACTTGGGTATGATTGCCCTGTTGACTGAATGTGTTTTGATTTCAATTATTAGAAATTCCATTCTTGTTAATGAATTATTGAGTAATACATTGAAATCGGCAGCTTATGAAACTGATGTCACTAATGTAGTCAATTGGTTTGGTGGTATAGCTTCAATTATTGTCAACACTCTCAATTTAACAGCCATTCTCGCCTTCCTCTTACAAGTGGTTCGTTACTTATTCATGAAGCATCTTTACAATTTAATGAATGTGATGAGAAATAAGGAAGGTAATCTTTTAGCAAATTATGCAAAGAAGATTACAACATTCAAGAGATTGACCTCAAATCCAATCTATTATGCTATTTTATGTTTGTTTGCTGTAGCTAACATTCTCTATTGGACTTTGTGGTTTGTTCTCAAGTATACTGGAGTTATTGGTGCTAATGACTACACTACTATTGTTTCTGTATCCTATTGTGTTGTCATTTTGACATTTGCCTTGATTGTTGCTTTAATTTTCGTTGCTGATATGATTTTGACTTACAAATTTGATGACGATTCAAAGGAGTCTTCAATTTCTGCAAGACTTACAAATCAAGGAGCGACTACTGAAGGAAAAGGACAAAAGAAATTAGAAACTAAACCAATTAGTGCTGATACTTCATCAGGTAAAGGAAAGGAAACAATTCAAATATCAACAGTATTACACACAGTATGGAAATGGTTTGTTAGAAGAGATACTCCACTGTTCTACCGTTTGGAAATGATATTCTTTGTGGCATTCTTTATCTTCCTCATTGTTTCTCAAGCGTTAGGTCTTGCCAGTATTGATGGAAAATTCTCCAGCTCTGACACTAAACAATTCACAATTGGGCTTGTCTTTGACTCAGCCAGATTTGCCATTGAAACTGTCTATATTGTATTTTATATTTTAGCATTTGGTGGATTTGTTTCCTTGGTTTCACTTTATAATTTCTACAAGAAGATTACAACTGAAAAACCTAATGACAATAAGAAAGAAGAAGCAGTGGAATTAGAAAATGAGGAACTCTCTCAAGTAATGTCAGACTCTGAAGGTATTATTCTATTTGAGGAGTTCTGTAAAAAGGAATGGTCTTTGGAAAATCTTTACATGTATGTTGATATCAAGCTCTTTATGGATACTTTGGAGAATAAGATGGACGATTCTGAAGAGTTCTTGAAACATCTCTACTCGTACTGTGTCAGCACCTACGAGGTTTACATCAAATTAGGAGCAACTATGGAAGTGAATATTCCATCACATTCAAGAAATTCATTCTTACTCTTATTCAAGATGGTTGTCGAGCAAGGTAAAGACAAGCCATTTGTGGATAAGGTTTATGAAAGCATTCTGTATGGAGAGTTGAATACTAAAAAGACAAAGTCAATTCCAATGCAATCCATGAATGCCCAGCCAATCAAACTTGACTTTAGTCAATCAAGTGTAAAATTGGTTGATGAACAAAAGAAGGCAGAAGCAAACAATACAGAAAACAAAGTAATGTGGGTTGGTTATCAAAGAATGATTAATGGATGTGCTGATTCTCTCTATCAACAAATTGTTATGAACTTGAGTGATACCTTCTCTAGGTTTATTTTCACAGATGAGTACAAATCATTTGCTATTGTGAACGAACTCAAACAAAGAATGAAAGCAAATGCAAGATTTGAACTTTAACTTTAAATTTCAAAATTTATTAAATCATAAACTTCTTCACATCCAACTTTTTAAATTGTGAGCTCTTTTCCAGTTTCTTTTGCACATCTTCGGCTGTTATTGTGATTGTAATAGCATTTCTATTATCTTGTCTTGATATTTCAAAAGTGTTAAATCCAATATTTCTCAATTCTTGTGCAGCTTTTTCAGTATCCTCCATTCTCACTAAGTCTGGAATAATAAAAGACATTTCATCAATTACCTTTTCAATAATTCCAATTAATCTTCTTGCACCAAGATTATCATTTCCTGCATTACACAAGGCACTGAAATTGGCAATTTCTCTATTAGCTGCGTCACTAAAGACCAAAGAAATACCCTCACTATTCATAAGGGAAATATTTTGTCTCACAAGGTTGAATTCTGGCATTGTTAATACTTGATAGAGCTCTTCAGGCGTATTAAGTGCAGTTAACATGATTCTTACTGGCAATCTACCTTGGAATTCAGACATTAAATCAGATGGCTTTTGTTGATGGAAAGCACCACTAGCAATAAACAAAACATGATCCGTCTTGACTGGACCATATTTAGTATTAATTGTGCAACCCTCTAACAGTGGTAATAAATCCCTTTGCACTCCCTCTCCTGAGGCATCTCCTTGAACGGCCTTCTTTTCAGGACTTCCACAAATCTTGTCAATTTCATCAATAAAGACAATTCCATCACTTTCAGCAATCTTTCTTGCCTCTTCAATGAATAATGGGCTATTCAAAAATTTATCCATTTCCAACTCTACTAATCTCACTTTGGCTTCCTTAATTGTCATTTCAACCTTTTTATATTTTTGTGGATTTAATTGACCTAACATTGAGTCAAGTGGTGTTTGATGATCTGACAAGTTGGCAACATCTGGCATTGAAAATTTGGAATTATCAAGAGATGATCCAAATGAACCCTTGACAGCATCAAACACGTCACTGAATTGAGATAATCCTAATGATGATTTCTTTTCAGGCATGCTCACTTCAATTTTTCTATCGTCCAATTCTCCATTTCTTAACATGTTCAAATAATCCTTAATGGTACCATTTCTCAAATTTGCTATATTTTTTGTTCCAATCATCAAGTGAATGATTCTATACTCTATTAATTGTTGAAGATAGGATCCAAACAAGTCTGGTTCTTCCAAAGTTCCTTCTTCTTGTTCGGATGGTGTTGATGATGGTGGTCTATTTAAAAATTGTTTGAAAAGATCAGTAATATTATTTCTCAAAACATTGATAGAAACATCCACCAAGTCTCTAGCAATAGTATCCACATCTCTTCCATGATATCCAAGTTCTGTATATTTAGTTGCTTCCACCTATATAATTTTTTCATTAAGAACATTCCAATAATAATAATAATAATAAAATAATAATAATAAATTAATAGAGAACATTGAATTAAACAAACCTTCAAGAATGGAGCAGAAACTAATTTTGCCAATCTTCTTGCAATTTCAGTTTTACCACAACCTGTTGATCCAATCATTAAAATATTCTTTGGAATTATCTCAGAAGGATCAAGTAAAGTTTTTTCACTCTTTGCCCAATCAATCAAAATCTTTCTTCTATATCTATTACGAAGGGCTACACTGACAGCCTTCTTTGCATCCTTTTGTCCAACAATATGTTTATCAAGACAATTCACAATTTCTTGTGGTGTCAATTTGTTTTCAAATTGTTTACGTTGCATGTGATAGGCTTCAAAGACAATCTTGTGGAAATTCTCGTTTAATCGTTCTTCATCTTGAATGAAGGTATTCTTTGGCTTGTTTGCTTCATCATTTTCCGTTGTTTGTTGTTCACTCTTTTTAGATGATGAAGATGAAGAATTCGAAGCACCTGAAGTATGAATATTTGCTCCAGGTTTTAAAAAAGCATTGAATATATCATTCAAATGTCCTTTCACTTGTTCCGAGCCTCCCAATGCTCCAAATATGTTGTTCATGTTCTTTTTAAATTCATCATCATCGTTATCCTTTTTTTTGCTTGTTGAAACTCGACTAGATTGATGATAGGAAGAATTAACAGATGCCAGCTGTTGTTGAGCAAGATATTTTACAATTTGTGTTGCATGTTTTGATGATGAAGCAATAGCTCCCGAAGCAATTTTCAAATTGAGTTGAAGAGATGATGGACTAAGAACCTTCTTCATTTTTTTTTTAATTTTTAATAAAAATAAAATTCAACATTTCGACATCTACCTCCCAATCTACATGCTAACAGAACAATATTTACATATGAGAAATTTTGAATAAATTAAATTATATTATTAAGAGTTAAATTAACATCTAGAAACCTTAACCAATTGTCTGGCAAGTCTCTTACCAATGACAGTAACACCTCTTCTGTTTCTTCTGACCTTTCTAACCTTTCTGAGTTTTCTGAGCTTTCTCTTGTTGATTCTTCTCTTAGAAACTCTTCTACCTCTCTTACAAGCAACAATCTTGACCTTCAATTTCTTCAAGAGCAATCTGAGCTTTCTTGGCAAGTGCTTCTTTGGACAGAACTTTCTACCCAATCTCTTCTTCAACTTCAAGACCTTTCTCAACAACTTTCTGATCTTTCTAGCAGTTGTCTTCTTGACAACAACTCTAGAAGTTCTCTTGACGATCTTCTTAACCTTCTTGGAGAGTCTTCTGTTTCTTCTAGCCTTTCTAGCCTTTCTGGCAGCTCTCTTGGCCTTCTTGACCTTTCTCTTAAGAGCCTTCTTGACCTTCTTGGCTCTCTTACGGAGCTTACAAGCACGCTTAGCAGCACGTCTAGCACGTCTCTTAACAAGTCTCAAAGCACGTCTAGCACGTCTGGCAGCCTTAAAAGACTTGGCCTTCTTGAGTCTTCTAGCCAATCTTCTGAGCTTTCTCTTCAACTTTCTAGCAGCACGTCTAGCCTTTCTAGCAGCTCTCTTAGCCTTCTTAACTCTCTTCTTTTGAGCCTTCTTGATCTTTCTGAGCTTTCTAACGAGTTTCTTAGCTCTCTTCTTTTGGGCCTTCTTGATCTTTCTAGAAGTTCTTCTCTTTGGTCTTCTGACACCTCTTCTTCTTGGAGATCTCTTGCATTTCTTGATGATGATAACACGTCTTGGTCTTCTAGCACCTCTTCTGGCACCTCTTCTTCTCAACTTTCTGAGCTTTCTCAACTTTCTAATTCTCTTCAAGAGCTTTCTGCAAGCCTTTCTCTTCTTCAAAGATTTAGCCTTCTTAGCACATCTTCTCAACTTTCTGAGCTTTCTCTTCAATTTTCTTGAAGCTCTCTTAGCCTTCTTAGTCTTGGTGGAGACCTTCTTTGGCTTTCTCTTCAACTTTCTGAGCTTTCTCTTCAATTTTCTAACAGCCTTCTTAGCAGCACGAGACTTCTTCTTTAACAATTTCTTCAACTTCTTCAACAACTTCTTCTTCTTGACAAGTCTCTTCTTGGCAGCCTTCTTGGCCTTCTTGATAATCTTCTTGACGAGTTTCTTCTTCTTCTTATCTTCAAGTTTTTCAACCTTGGCGATCTTCTTGGCAATCTTCTTACCCAATTTCTTACCAGTCAAAAGTTGATCCTTAACACAAGCCTTGAAAGCATTTGGATGCTTCTTCAACTTGATACCAGCCTTTCTACAGACAGATCTGGCCTTCTTGACCTTATCAGCTGGGAAATCCTTGGTTGATGGAACCTTTCTGAATTTTCTAATCTTGTGGTTATGCAAAATACCAATAGCACGTGGCAATCGGGTTCTGGCGTTAACCTTTGCTCTTGAACACAATGATCCTTCAGTGTAGTCAACAGACTTTGGTGAATCGAGAATCAAGTTAATGTGACCAATTGATCCAGTCTTCAAATAAGCTGGGCTTCTGGAATAAGAGGCAGACAAGATGGCACCATTTGATGCAGTGACAACGAATGAAGTTTGTGAAGCTCTCTTAACTGATGATTTGGTTCCCAAAGAGACGGTTTCACCAACGTTAATCTTGGTTGGGACCTTGTTCAAGAAGAATTTATCAGAAACAACATCATATTCGAAAATTCTTGATCCTTCAAGTTTAACAGCTGTTGTTTTTGATAAATAGTTTTAAAAGAAGAATTGGATGCATCATGAAAAAATATGAAGTAATAATTTCCACATGTCAAATGTCATCAGTTGAAAATAAATTGCATCATGAAATGTATTATGTGAATAATTATTGTTAAAATCATGATATTGGAATAATAATTAAATTACATACCAACAGCGGTATTGACTGAAGCCTTGTTCCACTTTCCAGTTCTAGTGTGAATAATAAGATTACCGTCATTGGTTTGAGCAAAAACGTAATCACCAACTCCGTAGAAATCGAATTTTCCATTGAAAGTTTTGTAGTGTGGGTCACCTAATGCTTGGCAACGTTTCAGTGTTGCTTCAGCAGCTCTCTTTGCCTTGCTCTTTCTGGCATCAATTCCACTTGACATGAAAACGATGGCCAAAACGGCAACGAGCAACAATGAGATGATACTCTTGCTGTTCATGTTGTGTTTGTTTGGTTTTTTTTAGCTGATGAACCAGATCGTTACTCACAATTTGACAGCTTTTATCTTTTCACCAAGTGTCACTGATAGAATTTGGATCTGACTTGTGAAGTGACTCGCCTAGGAGGAGTTAACAAACAAAGTCAAAGCACGAATCAAAAGTGCTATCAGGTTGTATTAACGGATGAGCCCTTATTACACGATGAGTTTTGGATTTCGTGTTAGAAACAAATATGTTTGTAATATTCGAATGTGTATCAGAGAGGATGTTGATGAAGAATCTGATAAGCACATGTTATAATGTTCGAACCGAGCAGCAAAAACAATACCACACAGATTTTGAGTTATTTTTTTTAACTTGAAATTTTGTTGTATTTTACTGTAGATTTTGAGCGCGAATTTAATAAAATGCTTGCGCAGTTATTCACCTTATTACAAACCTTATTAAAAACTTGAAAAAAAACAAACTTATTGCTACAATGAGATTCTTCAAGGAGCGTTTAGAAGTAATTACTTGCTACATTCCTTCGGGGAATGAAATTGTTTCGGAAGAGAATTTTGAAAAAGTTCCACCAAGTCAAGACAATAAGGCTCATTTTCCTCCCAATACATGTTTCAATGTTTTTTGGTTTAATCAACAACTAAACTGGACAGCACCAAATTGCAAATATCTAATCGAATATTTGGATGTTTTAAAGTCCCTAGAGAGTGCAAAGGAAGGCTCAAAGGCTGTTGTTAGATTATGTTCAGTTGAGAAGCAAACAGGGAGATTAGTATATGCTGCTTCTGGTTTTTATGTGCTCCCGAATGTGGTGATAACTAATTGTCATGTGAATAACAAATTGCAAAGTGCTACTGGATCTAACCTTTGTTTTGCCTACAGCAATGCATGGAACATTAGCAATTATGAAGACGCCTTGGCTAGATTGAAAGATCTTCCAGAGCAGAAACAACTTTTCTTTTCTGGTCAAGTATATAAGGATGCACCCTTTCCAACAAAGTTTAAACAAACAAAAGAATGGATTGGTAGAGATCCAATTACTGGAAAGATTGGGGATTTTTCGTATTTTGATTTTGCAGCTAACAAGTACTCTGGCCAACCAAACAATGTTTTCTTTATTCCCTCTTCAACCATTTTGCAACCTGGAGATGAAATAATCACACTTTCGTATCCTGGAAATGAAAACTCTGTTTCCCCTTTAATAGATTATCATAATTATGCAGAGTGGGCTCCAACAGATTCGTTCTTAAAGAACAACATCTTTAATGGTAATGGAAGTTTGTGTGCCAGTGTTGGCAAAATTCTTCATCCTTTCCAAGTTTCCAATAATGATATATGGGAGAAAAACGAAGAATTCCAATACGACCACTCCACTCAAGAGTGTTTAGCCAGTTCTGAATGTCTTACTTTTGGTAGCTCTGGGGGTGTAATGATTTCTAAATCTTGTAAAGTTCACCATGTTAACAATTTTATTTTGGTTGAATTTCATGGAATTCATGAGGGTGGAGGGTTTGTAAGATGCAGTGATTGTCTAAGAGAGTATTACCAATCAATGAAAGAAGATGGATCAGTGGTGGGTATTTATTCCTCAGAGATTGGAAACTTGCGAATTTGTGAAAAGTGCCTCAATGATTCTGAGAATTTCCATAATCCAATTTCGTATTCCAAAAGTCTTTCGGTCCATTCAAAGCCATTTATTGAATTCTTCAACTTTATTGTTCTACCAGAAACAGATTATTCCAATTTCTGCTATTCCTTCACTGGTTGAATATTGTGAAGACCATGGTATAATCATTGAATAAACATCAAACTAATAATTGACCCTTCAAAATATGAATCTGCATTTCCAAGGGAAGGTAAAAATACAACACCATCCCTTAATGATCTTTGCAAGTTGTGTGACTTTGGGTTTTTTATTGGAAATCAAAATGTTGAATCTTGTTAACAAACACGAGTGATTTTCTTGATAATTACCAAAAGTCTATCTCTCAAGATGGTTCCAGCAGTATTGGCTGGAGAGAGTTGAAGGAAAATATTGACATCTTCAAAGGATTCCTCAAATTTCTCATATTTTTCGTAAAAGAGAGCTCTGTAATATCTTGCTCTGTCATCGTTTGGATTTTTAGAGATAATCTTACTTGCATAATAGATGGCCTCTCTTAATCTGCTGGTATGATAGTAGCAGAGTGCCATATTGAAGAGGGTGCTTCGTTCTTCTGATTCAAGCTCGTTAACAAGTTTGTTATAGTCAGCGAGGGCTTCCTCAAAATCAGTTCTCCTCATATAACAGAATCCTCTTGTAATGAGAGCATTCACATTGGCAGGAGACCATTCCAATACTATAGTTAGCAGCTCTATGGCATCTGCATATTTGGTCAATTGAGTTAGAGTGAGTCCAAGATTGGTAATTGGCAATCTATTTAATACATTGTATAATTAATAAATTATTATAATTAAATATTCATATCAAAACTAATCAATAAATACTCACTGATAGGTTGGTTTCAAACGAATGGCCATCTTGTAATAGAGCATTGAATTTTCATGTTCCTCATCCGAATAAAAGTACATGGCTCTATTGTTATAAGCCAAGTGATTGGAAGGATCAATTCTCAAACTCATTTCATAGGCCTTGATTGCCTCTTCATTCATTTTGAGTCGTTTCAAGCAGATTCCTCTATTATTGTGAGCCATAGAGTGACCTTTGAAATTTGAAATAACTTGCTCATATAATTTGTTTGAAACATCAAAAACATCATATTTGTGAACAATGTATGCCTTTGTGAAAATTGCAGACGAATTAAAGAGTGGCAATGAGGCTGATTGTTGTAACTTGGAGCAGACCATTGAATACTCGGTATAGTAAAGCGAGAGTGGATACTTTTTCATTTCTGCAAGTGCCTTTCCAAGGAATGAATAGGATACAAAGGAAAAGAATGGAATTGATGTTTTTGCCTTTGCAAAGCGAGCAGTAATATCAGCGTGCATGGACTTCAAATTCATTTCACAAATATTTTCAATTTCTGATATCAACTTGCCAGCATTCTCCTTATTGTCCAACATATCGTAGAGATCTGTTATCATACGGACATATTTATCATGCTCAACAGGTGGATGTAGTACTGACTGTCTCAAATACATGTCTGCTGCTTGCATACTTTTAGAACCATAGAGTACGATACCAGCTAGGAAGCTAAAGTATAGGTCAATTACATTTCCATTTTCCAATGTGGCTATGTACTTGTATGAGGAGGGATGAAGTGGATTATTGAGCATGTGGGAAGGATATGGAATTGTGAGCTTGGAAAGCACTGGGGCAAGAAAGTATTCGAAAATTTTTCTATCTTCTGCTAAAATTGTACAAACGTGTGGCAATTCAATACCAATTAAATTCTCCAACGTAATTCTGGGCACAAAGTTGACATCCTCAATTGTTGGATTTTCATAAAATGGTTTCGGTACAAGTCTGTATGGCTCGTTAATTCTCAACATGGACAGGATAATTCTAATCATGCACCAATTGTTACGATTCTCCTGTAACATCATTTCACAGACGAGTGGTTCATTATATGGTTGTGATAATATTTTGAAAATCATTCTATGTGCACTTGTTGTGGAGAACATTATTTCCAAAATGAATATTCCCAAACAAAATATGATATCACTCTCGTACATGTCTAAATTTTTGATTGTCTTTTCAAAATTATCATTAATATTTACATCAACAAATTGAGAATATCCAACTTGATCTTGAAAGTGGAATACAGTCTTAAATTTTGGTGAAATTTCAACATTATCCAAAAATAATCTTTCAATGACATGGTATTTCTCGACGTGTCTATTTCTATTCAAATAAAACAAGTGTTCATCTTGTTCAATATTTGGAATTCTCTTAAGTAAACCTGCTTCATTCATTTCATACAACTTTTCCACAATTGCAAATAGAATTTGGAAAATTATAAAGTTTGGCAATTGAACCTTCTTCTGTTTGTAGAAGGTATCAATAATTTCCGAAATCCCAATAAATTGCTTCTCCTTGAATAATTTACATTTTGTTACATTACTAAAATACATGATATTTCTAACCTCGAATCTATCTGGATGTTCATAGGGTGAATAATTTAAGGAAGAAAGTGTGAGAATGTTAAGCTTGGTACTTGTTGGTTCTGTCTTGTAAATTGAACATTCGTCATTGTCATCGTCATCATCATCATTATGATCCTTTTCGGAATCTTCTCGATCAATCATTTGAATATTTACTTCATTACTATTAGTACTATTACTACTGCTAGGCTCTTGTGATGATGATGCTGATGCCTGATGATGATGATGATGATTTAAAGTACGATTATCTTGCTCTTTTTTAATATCATTCTTAATTTCTTGCATTACGTTTGATATTTGTTCCTCTGTGATGACATCTTCATCATCAGAATGATCTCTTCTCTCTTCCGAATGATCACGATCATCATCATTCCTTTCATTATCAGAATCTTCATCCTCTTCTTCTTCAGAAGATGATGACGACGACGATCCATCCTCCTCCGATTCAACACGCGTAAACTCAAATATAAATTCCTCAATTTTTCTAATTTGTTTCTCATTGCTTTCTGCATGTTCTAGTAAATTCTGTTGTCCATAATCTAATGCAAATAATTTACAAAATAATTTTAAATCGAGACTTGAATTTTCGTCATCATCGGGCAGTTGTAGGATTTGATCAACTTCTAGACCATCCCGAACAATGGGAACGATGGGAGTGGTGGGAGTTTCGGCGCTGCTTTCATTGTTGGTTTCTTCATTTACGAGTCGAAACATTTTTTTCTGCAATTTTTTTTAAATATTTTACAAAAATTTTTACAATTTTTATTTAAATATTTAAATATCGAATAGGAAGGCAAGTTCGTCTTCCATTGAGAAGGTTGGTTTCTTTGATTTACGACTGGATTGAGGAGGTTGTTCAGGTGAATTTGCAAAAACATTAAGAACTGAACTAAAGATTCTTTCCTTTGTAACCTTTACAATACCTTCAACGCCATTCTCACGTTTTCCTCCATAATTTGAAATAACTGAGAAGAGCCACTCTTCAATAATCAATTTGGATCCTTCAACATTTGGTAAACTTGAAAAATAGAATAGGAATTTTCCATCCACAATTGAAAAGTTATTTTCCTTTTGAATTTGAGTACTTTCAATGTCCTTATTCAATTTAACACGTGGTGAATCCTTGTCCAATCCTTTAGATAGAGATGAAGATCTAGAAAGCATTCCTGCAAGTGGAGTCAATGAGCCATAGAATAGAGTTGGATCAGTTCCGTAGCTTTCTCTGTCTGTGTATTGGAAGAGTTGAATTTCTGGATTGGCTGTAATTTGATCATTGGATTTACCTTCAAGATCGGCAAGATTAGGAATTGAGCCACGAACTGATTTTCTTCTGGCAGAGAGAGATCCTTGTGGAGGAGTGCTGACATTTGATGAAGAAAGAGATGATTGAAGAGTTGGACGTTTAGGTGTCAATAATTGACCAACAGAGGAAGTAGAATCCTGATGGAAGAGATTAGAATCACTGGCAGTGTAATTGGATTTTGGTGAAGTAACTCTAGAGCTGACATTTCCTTCATTGGTTGGTGGTGATGTTTTGAATTCCTCATCATGAATGTTTGCAAAAATGTGAGTCAATTGTGCCTTATTCAGATGTGGGCAAACCATATTTTTCATAGATTCATCAGTGAGAACTTGTCTCTGGGCAAGGATACACACATCACTGACCTCTCTAGACAAATGAAGGGCAATTGATTGTGTGCCTTGATCGGTTGTTTCTGTAATATTCTTTGAATTGAACCAATTTTCAGTAAATACGAGACCCATCTTGACAGGTAATGCAATGGCAGCTCCAATTTGTTCCTTATAAATGAAATGATTGAAAATTAGAGCATCAGAGAGTTTGGCCAAGTTTTCGAAAAAGTGTTGAGTAATTCTTGGTTCGATACGTAATTGTTTGAATAAATCGAATACCCTGTTTAAGAAGGCATGAAGTTGTCTTGTTTCCAAACCACCATCAGTTGATTTAGAACTGGTCAATTTGGTATTGAAAATGGCCTTGATGAGGAAAGGTCTCAATCTCACAGCAATGTGTCTAAATAGTTCAGTGTACATTTGTGCCATAATTTCTGAAATGCTACCAACCAATTGTTGAAGACTCTTGACAGTAAAAGTCTCATCCACTTTCTCCATTTCATTATACTTGACAAAGTATGGAGGAGTGGCAAATTTAGGAACTTGAGTTTCATCGCCACACAAGAGAGCTGCATCCAATTTAAAGCTCTTGGCAATAACTTCAGAGAATGTAGTTGGTAATTTGAGATCCTTCTTCTTGAGCTCCAAATCGTGCAATAATCTGTACAAGGTATGAATCCAGAAGAGAATGAGACTGGTAGAGTTTTCAATTTCTCCAGATTCGCTTGCACCAGCTGCATAGATATTGACCTTGTGTCTAGTGGTCTTGAATTTTTCAACGAGATATTTCAGAGCAATATTGAGATTGGTGCAGAAAGTAGTGCCGAGAATAATCTTTGAATCGACGGTGGCACTCTTGACTTCGTCTGGATTCCATTGAAGAATGCACTTGAGGAGAATCTTGGCTGGTGTTGGATAGGTATCAGATAAAAAGTCCTTTACCATGATGTTCTTAAAGTAAATCTTGGAAAGATTTTCCAAAGGAAGGAAGTCATTGGTGACACTATTCAAAACAGTTCTATCCAAAATGAATTGCTCTAGAGTAGCATATTGAACTGCCAATAGATCAATCTTGACCTTTTCAACCTCACGTTCTACGAGGACCTTCTCTTGAGCACATTTTTGTTCGACACTTTCGATTGCCTTCTTGTGAGATTCTTCCAATTTCTTGACTTGTTTTTCCTTATCATCCATACGCTTGGAACATTTTTCAATAAGATCAGTTAATTCAACATTTTCATCTTGCAAGGATTTGCTTTGCTCTTCAAGTTCTTCAATCTTTTTGTCAGACTTTTTCTTTTGTGACTTGAGCTTTGAAAGCTCATTTTGCAAGTCGAGAATTCTCTCATTTCTTTCATTAATCTTTTCAGCACTTTCCTTTCCAACATTGGATGAACTGGATTCTAATTGTCTGATTTGGTTTTCAAGTTCAGTAATCTTGTCTTCCTTTTCCTCAACTTCAGATTCAAGATTCTTGATAGAAATCAAACTTGCTGTCAATTCTGATGAAGTCGATTTGAGCTTTTCAGATTCCTTTCTGAGAGAATTTTCAGTTTCAGAAAGTTTCTCCTCAAGAGATTTAATCTTGGAATTGAGATCATCAATTTCTTGATTCAAATTGGAAATTTGACTTTCATTCTTTCTAATTTCTTGATCCTTTTCTTGGAGCGATTGTTCCTTCTCAGTGACAATTTGTTTGAGTTGGTTGATTTGTAAAGTCTGTTCGGATACAGACTTTTCTAACTTAGATTCCTTTTCCTTTAGGTTATTAAGATCGATTTCCAAATGATCAATCTTGGTGTTAGCTGTTTGAATTTGTTGTGAAGATTCTTGTTTGATCTTTTCCAAATCTTGCTTGAGTTGGGAAATTTGCTTTTCCTTATCTTGAGATGCTTGTTCAAGAGTTGTGATTTGGAAGGAGAGATTTGACTTGTCCATTTCTAATTGCTTGTGAGTTTGCTCAAGTTTAGTGAGTTGATTATTGAGAGTTTCTCTTTCATTCTTTAAAGTTTCGACAAGTTTAGAATTTTCAGAAGTGGCCAAACTTCCCTTCTTTTCATTTTCGGATTGTTTCACCTTGAGTTCTTGAATTTCAATATTGAGAAGCTTGTTTTCATTTTGAAGTTTGTCAGTAATTGTCTCTCTTTCCTTAATTTCCTTTTGTAATTGTTGAGAAGCATTGAAAAGCTCTTGTTGCTTTTCCTTATTTTCCTTCTCAACTTGGAGGAACTTTTTAGTCATGTCACTGAGAGAATTTTCCAATTCCAACTTTTTGTTTTCAATTGACTTTTTGAGAGCAGTAACTTCTGAGAGTTGCTTTTGGAGTTCTTTCACTTCAGAGTCCTTCTTTTTGTTCAATTCGGAAATTTCTCCTTGCAAACGTTGAATTTCTTGTTGATGAGAGGATTGAGAAGAGTTCAAGTTTGAAGAGAATCTCTCATTAGATTGTTTGAGTTCAAGATTCAATCTTTCAATTTCATTTTTCAAATTCTTTTCAGTTTTTTCCTTATCATTTTGGAGATCCAAATTCTTCTTACTCAAATCACTCTTGATCTTTTCAATGTCACTTTCCAAACGTTTGACTTGATCTTGGTGTTTGAAATTCAACTGCTTTTCATGGTCTTCATTTTCCTTTTCAATCTCTTTAATCTTATCTTCAACTGCTTTGATTTCCTTATCGGCCTTTGATTGAACCATTTGCATTTTGAGTTGAATTTCAAATAATTTTGATTCTGCTTGTTGAGCAGCCTCTTGTGAAGTTTCCAGATTTTGTTTCAATTGTTCATTTTCAATTTGGAGGAAGTGCAACTTTTCTTGCATTTCTCTACTTGGAGTCTCATGTTGACTTGCTGAAGAATTGCTACTGCTACTGATAGTACTACTCTGGGAGACTACATTCTGAACAGTTGAGGTGGTAGCACCACTTGTTGGTGGTGCTTGAGTTGTGCTACTAGCGGTGGTTGAATTTGAATTATTTCCATAAACACTATTGTAATATAAACTACTATTCTTAATCATGGTACTTTCAAATGTCTTTTCAGCTTCTGCCAAATCATCCTCATCTTCAGATTTCTCATCATCGTCCAATTCTCCTTCACGATAAGTTCCAGAAAATGTACTGACATTTTCAAAATCTTCATCATCCTGAACATCTTTCAAACATTTACAATTCATCACGAGTTTGACAAGAATTTTGAGTCCTGAATTGAATTTCTTATTTTCTGGAGTGAGAAGTAATTCTCGAGTGGTTGTGGTTTCTTGAGTTTCGTTTACAAATTCAGTCAAATCCAACGAATGCTTCGCAAGTGTTTTCACTTCAAAATTTGGCTTTTTTGGTTCTTCCTTCTTTTTAGAACCCTTTTCCTTTTCTATTTTCCACATTAACAAATTTTTCATTAATTTTTTTTTGTAAACATTTAAATATTGAAAGGAACATTAAAATATTAACAATCTTAACAATGAATCTGAGAACATACCATGTTGCAATTGTTGCAAATATTGATTATACTGTTTGGCAAGTTCAATATCCTTTCCAGCAACAACTTCTTCAATACTAATTACTAAATCTTTCTTTTGCCATTCATTCTTCTTTTCATTTTTGTAAAGTGTTCCACCAAATCTAAAGGCACGATTGTAAATGACTTTAATTTTGGTTGTGTGTTTGGAACCTGGTGGTGGATGAACAAATTCTGTTTCACCCTTTCGTTTTCTACCTCTTTTCCATTGAATCTATTCGAAAGTCATATGTCAATCATATTTTAATGGGTGATGATGATGATGGAAAGAGATATGAATCCAATAATAACAACAGTTGTTAACAAGGAATTTCGATTCGGACAAGTCAAGCAATTAGAAACTGTTATATTCGAAACCTACCGAATACAAATTATCATCAAGAATCACTGTATTGTTACCCATAGTCTCAACGAACAAGTAGTCGATAGAGAAATTGAAGGCAAACTTCACCGGCGTTACCTTCTTCGTTAGCTTTCCAAGCATTTTTTTTTGATGGATTTAATTTTTTGCTGACTGTTGATGGGAAATAGAGATTTTTTGGATTGATGGACAATTTAAGAGATTTTCGTAAATTTTGATGAAAAGACCAGTTTTCTAAAGTTACTAATGTATACAATGCTAAGTCTATTATGATAATTCACTATTTTTTGAAAGGATTTGTTATTGAAATTGTTCAATAATTAGCAAAGTTTAGGATGATCACAAAACAAAAAACGAAATCTCAAATTAAATTGAAAATAAAATTAATTTTTAATAAAAAATCAAAAAGTAAAAAAATGGAAGATGAGCTACAATGGGACAAACCGTCCGTTAAGCTTTCATCATTTCATGATGACCAACAAATTAACAACATCACGACCGGAGTAGCATCATTAACCACTCTCCAACAACAAAATGATAATAATAATAATAACAATGATGAATCTTCTCTCATCAAATATGATGGAAGTTTTGGATTAATTACGGATGATGTAATTGAGCATTGCGTTTTACCCTTTGTAGAATATAGAGAAGCAATCATGACCATTCCGCTTGTTTGTAACAAATGGAAAAACATGAGCAACAAGACATCAATTTGGTATGATATTGTCCTGAAGGAAAGCAAATTACATTCTTCCGTTCTGTCATCCTATGTAAATAATTGTAAATATTTGTGTAAATTGAAGAGTGAAAAACAGAGCCAAATAATGAGCAGTGAAGAAGAAGAGGATGATGGACCTCATGAAAAGTCATCACCATTCCCTACTGATGATTCATCATTGTCATTGCTATTATCTGATGATGTATATATTTTGAAAAGATTATTGTACATAATTCCCGATTACTTCCCAACAACATTTATCACTCCTTCCGAGGATACCGATAGAGAATTTCATTTGAGAGATCTCATATCTAGGGATTCCAAAGATACAAACTTGTTAATCTATAGTAAGGGAAATTCTGATACGTTTCGTGCCTTTTCCTATGATATTAACTTGAGAACAGACAAACGTATTCCTAATCTACCTTACAAGCCACCAAAGAAGAAGATTTCTTCAACTGAAGTGGATGCTCAACCTCAAGCTTCTTCATCAACAACAACATTGGTAGAACCAATACAAGTTGCTCCACTAACAACATCAATATCAACATTGGTATCATCATCCTCTTCAACAACAACAACAATAGAAAAACAACTTTCATCAAATTATCTTCTCGAGTATTTAGTTCCTATCTATTATTTCGAAGTTGAAACTTTTGTCTTGGAGAAACCTGAACCAGTAACTCCGATTACTCCCTTGTCTAGTACTTCATCTAGTTCTGGAAATTCATTCTGGAAGAAGATGATGGCCACCAAGAAGAAGGTAAAGGATGGTAGAAACTCTATTGGTATTATGCATAACAGATATTTGGGAAATAGACAAGTTGGGTGGGATGATTTATCAACAGGTTTTCACACTGATGATGCAGGATTTTTCCTTGAGGAAGGAAGCTCGAAATTCAAAGTTAACACTGATGGAAAGGAAATTATTGTTGGAGATGTGTTGGGATGTGGATTTTCTTCACATCACAAGGCTGTATTCTTTACATTGAATGGCACCTTTTTAACCTCTCCAGTTATTCTCCATACTCTCAAAGAAGATATGCGTTTTGGACTTGGATTTTGGAAGAATATGAAAGCAAAATGTAATTTTGGAAGTGAACCTTTTCGATATGATATTTCCAAATCACTTGATGATATTAGTAGATATTTCGATGATTCAGAAAGTTTCGCCCATCATTTATATGATTCTGAAATGACCTACACTGATGAAGAGAAAATGTCAGGACTCGTTGAGAAACTGACTTCATTGAGAAATAGAATTGAAACAGCTAATCAATTTTTGGCTGACATTCAGAGAAGAATATTAATGCGAGAAATGGGAATGGATTCGGATGAGGAAATGACAGAGGAGAATGATCGTAATGATGAGGATTATGTTGATGATGGAATGGAATTGAGCAGTGTTGACTCTTCAAGTGAAGAAGAGGAGGAACATACATGGAACGATATCATTCGTGAGGATAACTCAGATGCTCAATCACCAACATCTCAAAATGAAGAAAATCAAGAAGCTACCATTTCTGATGAAGAAGGTTCTTTCAGTGATTAAATAAAGGTAAGGTCACCCTTTCGAATTTCTATTGTAAGATTAAGTTACTACACATCAATGCCTGTCTTGTAAGATTTGTTGCATATCATTGAGAGCGGAGAGATAATACTATTCAAAACAAATACCTCATTGACAAATATCTATGAATAATAATCGTGAGATGACTGTTTCTATTGTTGACCAGCATCAGCATGGCTCATTGAATCCAGGAATAGTTTTCCATCAATACAATATTTCATCATCAACTTTTACTTCTGCAATAGAACGATACTACATTTCTGTTACTACTCATGGAATTGGAATACTGAGTTATCTGATACTGACCATTATAATGACCACTCTCCTCATCAAACGATGGAAGGAAATGATTCCCTTCAAGAGATTCTTTTACATTTCCTTAATATTTACAGCCATCTTGCAAATTCTCTCACAGGGAGTTGGAATAGCTCACGATGTTGGAGCACTGACTCATATTCAGGAATTTTTGAGTCAATTATTTTTCGTTATTTATTATTGTGGACTCGTGTCAACTGTTGTAATGTGTACCTATTTTCAAGCAATGGTTTCAAAAGTATTGTATGGAATTTACTTTCATCAATCTCATTCATGGATGAGGAAGGGAGCAGAAAGCTATTCATTCAATGAAAAGTTTAGAATATTTACAAAATATTACACAATTGGAATGACATTAATTTGGACTATTGCATTCATTATTCTCGTTCCATTCACTCTGATCTGTTCAATGGTATATTATATGGATGGAGGAAATACACGAGTTGGAAGTATTCTTGGCATTTGGTCAATTATTTCTGTGGCCATTGTTGGTCTTGTAAACTCTGGATGTGCCATCATTACAGGAGTGTTAAATTTAACTTTGGTTCTTCTACTCTCAAGATACCTTCTCCAAAACAGGCCAGTCCCAATCCCTCGCAGAAATGCATGTAAAAAGTTGGTACTCTTAACATTTGGTCAATTCTACATGGCAATTATTAATTCAATCTCAATTATTTTGGGAGCTATTGGTATATGGTATCCATACTTGTTCATATTGACTGGTGTCATTCATAGATTTGTGTTTCTGTTATTTGCCATTTGTGTGAGTTTCAGTTTTGGACCTATGGATTACTTTCATTATGAATTAAAATTGGAAGGTAAGAAGAAGCCACATGGGGATAATACTCAATCCTCATGTCAAACCAGTGAAATTCAACTCACCAATCAAAAAACTTCAAACTCTTTCAATATTGATTCAAAGGCATTTAGAAAAGCCAGCGAAATATCTTCCATGATGATGATCAAGTATACAGCAACAAACAAGCAGCCCATTTACTCACCCTTCAACATTACTAGCTCCTTTGGGCCTCAGGAGGCGATTGCAACTGATCAGTTGCGTGCTCCAACCAATTGTAATGACAGTAAGAAAAGTAATGACAGTAATACCACTATGAGTACTGCTACTGATCATCATCAAACTACTACGACGAAAATCGATAATATACAATATGAAGATATCTTTGTTGATATTCCTCTCAATGATTAATAACCCAACAACAATCAACAACACCCAGAACAGGACCATCACTCTTTAAAACTCATTGACTGGCAATCTCACAATCAGCTTTCCACATGAATGTTGTTGCGCCTTAATACTCGCCAATCTCAGCTCCACGAACAATGTTCTCAGCAAGTAACTAAGGGTCGGTAAAAAGATTCTTTTAGGGTCATTCAACCAGTTGCCAAATTAAGCGTGAGAGAGCGTTGATTATTTTACTCAATGAAAAAAAAATCAACAACATCTAAGCGAGCATTTCATTGCTAAATCTCACACATTGTACATTAAGAAGGAGTAACTTGTTATATTAGTGTAATTAGCAGCAATCATGAATAAGAGTTTGTTTAATTTAGTCAAGATCAAACGATTGATTAAGGTTTATCTTGTTATATGCTTGGTGTTTATTATATTTTCGTGGATTCTAGTGCGGAGGATAATATATGGAGTAGAGTAGAGGGGATTTACTTACTACTACTACTCTTCAAGAAGAACAACATGAAGAACTTCCATCCATGAATATCCATGAGAATGCTCGTACTATTGGTTTGGTGAATACTGCTGTTGGGAAGGGAACTAGGAGAGAGCAATTTTCAGTAACTATTGAAACGACAAACTCTAAGGAAACATCATCTTTGAAAGATGTTTCAACAGATGATGAAAAGTTTCGTCCTTCTAGGATTCCACCACTCATATGTACTAAACCAATCTCAATGAACAATCTACCATCAAGTGTTAACCTATCTGAAGAAGAAAAGCAGAAGGAATTGTGTGAAAGAGAGTATGGATGTGGTCTTTTGCAAACATGGAAGCAACAAGCTATTGAAATGTGTGAAAAGGACGATTATGTCATTCCAAGTTCTGGTCTTATTGATTTGGAAAAGAAGAAGGAGATGGAAACTAATCAAGCCACTCTCACATGTTACAAGAACAATAACAAACATGTTGATTCGGATACATTTCCACACACTGTTTGTGAATCAAGTAATTTGGTGATGGATTTTTCAAAATTGAAACGAGTGCCATGTTTAAAGTACAGACCTGGTTATAATTGTAAAAGGAAAACCTATTACACATACTTGGCAGGAGCTCTTCTTGGCAAGTGTAAGAGAAATCCAGTGAATTTGGATCTTTCTCAATTTTCAAAACACTTTGGAAAGGAAATTTTCTCAAGTTTCAAAACATTTAAGGAAGAAAATTTTAAGGAAAAGAAGGATAAGGTTGAATACATTGATGGAGTGACTATTTTCGTTACTAGAGAACAAGATGATCACGCCAATTTGTTTCATGCCTTGTCAGATTTCTTTGCAACTTTTCAAATGATTGAAATGTTCAAATTGGATAGTAAGAATGTTCAAATTGTATTGTTGGATGAACATTACGAATCTCCATATGACTTTTTGTGGAATTCTACCTTCTCCTTGAAGAGACCTGCTAGAAAAGCTTCCTATTTCAAGGAAAAAACAGTTCGATTTGAAAGAGCCATCTTTCAACATGCTGGAGTGGCCACTCAACTCAAATCCAATTTGTTAGATTTTTCAGAGTTTGATCCAAGCCAATGCAAATCCAAAGTTAGACTCGTAACTGCCTTTTCAGATAGAATTCTAAGCACTCTAGGAATAGAAAAGAGAAGACCTTCTTTCTCATCATCAGATGAAATGATTAGAGGACTTTTTGTGAGCTCGGGAAAAATCACAAACGAAGATGAAGTTTTAATCAATTTGAAAAAGCATCCAGAGTATGGTTATACCTTTACTTTAGAACGAATTGATCTCAATAAGTTTTCATTTGTAGAGCAAGTGAAACGAGTTCATCAAGCTGATTTTCTTATTGGTTATCATGATCTTGGATTGACAAATAGTTTGTTTCTTCCAGATGGAACTTCAGGACTATTGGAAATTTGGAAAACTTACAAGACACGAAGTATGAGATCATTTGAACAGTATTCTAGATGGAAAGGGAATGAATATACACTATGGACAAACATGGATATGAAAGCTATTAATGGAGATAATCTGACTGTCAAACTAGAATCATTTCTTCAGACATTTGGTATTTTCTTAACAACTTTGAGAAATTCAAGAGCCAAGTAAATCTATTGGCATCACACCCAATTGACCTCTGGATAATGTTTCAGAGTTGGGCATTGAATTGGCCAAGACAATTAAAACATTTGCTTCGATTGAGATTGTGGCCGAAAGTAAGGTTGAATTGAAAGAATTGAAAACTTTAATACCGAATGTAAAACTATTTGAAAAGATTAAATTGTTTATGATTTAAAGAGATAATTTAATATGACAGGTTGACAAATTGACCGAACAAGATATTTAGAATTACAGAACAACTCCATCATTGCATGTAAAGAAAGATCACGCTTGTTGTTGATATTCAACCAATTAGAGATATTTGTATATAGGTCAATTGAATCCAAAAGAGATACGAAACTCAAATATAAAAAAAAACAAGATGATATTCAACTCGACGATTATATCAAACATTACCAACACAACAGAAAACTCTACAGTTTCATCCACTAACAATGCCCAAGTAATATCTCTCATTACTTTGAATTCTGTGGGAAGTTTTCTCTTTTTCATTCTTGTTCTTTTCATGACCATTCTCTTGATAGTTCAATGGAAAGGAATGGTTAAAAATAAGAGAATCATGTCGATAGCGTTGATAATTACATGTTTGAATCAGTTTGTTTATCAAACTTGTGGATTGGTTGGATATTTAACTTCATTCTTGAAAGGTCCGCCTCAGTTGAATGGAACTTTTCTTGGATTTGAGTTTGCTGGATATTTATTGAGCTTGACATTATTATTGAATTGTCAGGCGATTATTACTAAAGTTCTTTTTGGAGTATATTTTAATGAATCACAAACATGGATGAGAAATTCAAAAGAAAATTCCATATTTAGAAATTTTGTAAAGTTTACAAGTATTTCATAGTAACAATCTTTAATTTACAATTAGTACTAAGCATCCCCTTCGCCTTTATATTTTCCATAATTGTCAAAGTTGATATTCTCACTCCATCTCAAAGTAGCTCACTTCGCCAATTTACTGGAATTTTCCATCCAGTTTTGGGAGCTCTCATTTCACTTTCCTTCCTATATTTTTGCGTGCTTAATCTTTCTCTCTCAATTTCACTAATCAGAAAACTCTATCTTTGTCAAAGTATCATAACTGACCAAAAAAGGAAATGTTGCAGAAAGTTAATAATTTTAAGCATTGGACAAGTGTTAATGGCACTGCTCAATATCATTGGAATTATAATAATGGGAGTGGCTACTGTAATTCCTCTTGTTTTATTTGTGATTGGATTGGCTTCTCATAGAATTTCGATTTTCCTTTTTTGTATTTTTGTAAACTTTTCTTTTGGACCATTGGATGATGTTTCAGAATTGGGTGAGCAGTTGGCAAATGTTGTGAAGAGGAGATCTCTTTCTATTAAGACTGATGTTCATATTAAGGATAAGGAGGCAGAGCTTTCGAATAAGGAATCAGAAAATAAAGTTTAAGATTTCTACAAATATGTATCTATTTCGCGAAAATTGAATGAAAACTAATGAAAAACTGAAAATGACAATGTCTCTCCCAATTTGTTTTTAGATTCGTCTCTAAATTATCTCTTGACAGTTTGACATTTCAAGACATCAAAAAAAAAGAATGAACTCGACATTGACCAACTCTACAACATCTGCCTCACCTACAGCCAAATCAGATTATCTTGGCACCTTTATTTCCATCATTACTCTCAATTCTCTCGGAGCTTTATTCTTCTTGTTTCTTCTACTTTCCATGACGATTCTACTAATCTATAAATGGAAGAAAATGGTGAAAAACAAGAGATTAATGTACCTACTCTTGATATTTACCTGTTTAAATCAGCAGATTTATCAATTATGTGGTTTAATTGGGTATACTTCAGCTCTGCTTGTTGGTCCACTTGGGTTGACCGGAACTTTTCTTGGATTTGAGTTTGCTGGATATTTATTGAGCTTGACATTATGTTTGGATTGTCAGGCTGTTATAACGAAAGTACTTTATGCAGTGTATTTTAATGAAAATCAAACTTGGATGAGAAATTCGAAACTTCATTCGATTGGTAAGAAAGTGGTGCTTATTTCAACGATTGGAATTGTTGCATTTTTCAATTTGCTGTTGATTTTGAGCATGCCCTATGCGTTTATCTCATCATTATTGACTTTTATTGATCCGGGAAGGAAAATTCTGAGCTTGAGTCAAGTTCTTACTATACAACAGTTTACAAAAATATTTCATCCAACTCTTGGAAGTGTAATATCTGCAGCATTCTTTTATTTGTCAATTCTCAACTTTACAATCACCGTCTTGTTGATTAGAAAGCTACTTGGTCAAAATCAAAGTGTCATAACCGACCAAAAAAGGAAAGTCTGCCGAAACTTGCTAATTCTGAACTTTGGTCAAGTTATAATGTCTATGATGAATGCAGTGGGTGTCATTACTGCCGGAGTTGCTAGTGCTGTCATGCCACTCAGTGTAATTTCAATTTTAATTCACAGATCATCAATTTTCATTTTTTGTATTGTTGTAAACTTTTCTTTTGGACCACTGGATAATGTTTCTGAATTTGGACATCAATTGGCAAATATTGTAAAAAGGAAATCAATGAATAAGATTGAGATTGAGGAAAGGGATGTGAAAGCAAATGTTTCTACTAAGGTAGTTTCAGAAATTGTGGTGGAAAAAGACGAAACAAACGAAACAATTGACCCAAATAAAGTGTAACCTATCTCTCCATATATAGGGACAATTACTTTACTACCTACAAATGACGATTCCAAGATATAGACATGTTGAAACCACCATCTAAATAGTAGTAATTGAGTCATATTTTTTGGTTTATTGAAACCTATAGTGCTTAATAGAACAATGAATCGTCCGAACAATTGTTATCGTTTAACATACTTTTCCTTTTGCAAGAAAAGATCAACACTTGTCTTTAGCTCTGTTTTGTATTGAGATTTCAGGAGTGTAACACATTGTTCAATTGACCATCTAGTCTTAATCGATGGGTCTTTCATATGCGAAATAAGTTCTATTACATTGTTATTAAATTGATTTCCATTAGTAGAATTATTATCTTTGGAATAGTTGATTATCTCATCAATAGTGCATCCCAATGAGAATATATCACTTTTCGGAGATATAAACCCTCCTCCTTCTCAGGTGATTCATAAAAAAGAGAGCCTGCTGTTGATTTGATAATTTCATTAGTCTCATCCCTGCAAACCTCTCCATCCAATGAATGATAACAAATTGACAATCCGTAATCAGTTATAAAATAATGGCCACCATATTTCACTATATTATTTGGCTTTAAATCGATGTGAATGATTCGCTGGTTCTTTAATTTTGCAAGTTGCACTAATAAATCACAAATCAGCCGTATGACCTCAGCTGAATCGAAAATAGTCGAAACTTGTTGACCTTCCAATAACACTAGACCATGTCTGCTATTAAGGAGTTACAAAGTTAAAAAGTCAAGATAACAAATTAAAAAATCCATACTATTCTCATCAGATTCTTTACAAAACACCTTCCAAGAGTTAGTTTCACCTTTGAGTAAACCTTTCCATTGATTCAGTGGGTGGTGGTGACTCTGTGTTTGTATTGCTCCTCTTTTTGCTACTAACACACAAACTACATCCCTCCCGATTCTCCTTATCATCATCCTTATCATCATCATCGGACATTTTTTCGTGTTTCATATCTCTTTGATTGAATGTTTTGGTCAACTGAGAATTCAAAACCTCTGGCTGTCAAGTCTTTATTGAGAATCTTCACTCAACCATTTGATGTGCACTGTTTTGAGGACATATGGTACCTCTTTTAATGGTGATGTATCTCTTTTATTAAATTAGAAATGACAACACCATTCCAGAAAGCAAATGTCTGCATGGCAGGTCAGAACGAGTATCTGCATTTACAGAGATAAGTCATATCAAAAAAAAAATGGCAAATGACGTTTTTGCAACTCTGAGCAGCAATTCAACGATTCCTATGGAAGATATAGTGACATCAAGCATTGGAATACCATTGAATGGTATCGGATTCATCATATTTTCCAGTTGCTCTGTATTTATGTTTGTCATTTTCATTATGAATTACAAAAAAATGGTTTACAATAAGAAATTGCTATATTCAATGGTTTTATTGGTTTTTGCTTTGGAAGAAGTGTTCCAGATAGTGGGGATAGTGACTGGTACTTCAATTCTTGTAGATTTTGGAGAAATTCTTATAGTAATTAGCGCGTCATTGGAACAGTCGCTTTTTTTCTTGTCAATTGTAATGTGCACCAATTGCCTTGGTGTTGTTACAAAAATTTTGTATGGATTGTATTTTAACAAATCACATGAGTGGATGAGAATGAATAAGGGTAATCAGAGGCTGAGAGATTTTATCAAAATAACAAGTATTACACTTATTGTAATAGTCAACTTGATTATTGTAATTGTAATACCATTAGTAATAACCTATAGTCTTTTCAAATATTATGACACCGAAAGGAAATGGATAGATTCTGAAGGTTTTACCATCATGTCCAACATTTCAAGGGTTATTTTCGGATTTTACATTTCAATCATTTGTTTGGCAACCATCTTCTTTCCCATACTAAATATGGTAATTGTTGTTTTACTAATTAGAAAGCTAATTCTCAATCAAAAGTTTCCAGTAACCGATCAGAGAAGAAAATCATGTCGTAAAATGCTCCTACTAACATTTGGTCAACTCTACATGGCTCTTCTCAACTTAATTTCAATGAGTTTTGGAGGATTTGCTTTCGCTTACTATATTCCACTTTATCCTATTTGTTTATTCATCCACAAAATATCCCTCCTCTTATTTTGCATTATTGTAACATTTTCATTTGGTCCTTTGGACTTTGTATTGATTGAATTTAACAGCGCTAGCTCACAATCTGTGACAAGTGTCGAAATTATTCAGAAACGAGATGACATTTCTCAATCTGCGTTGAATTCAGATCAGATTATTAGAAAGGAAGACTTTAGAGAATATGTGAATAGTGAAACCAAATCAAACACTAGTGGAATACCAATCCTAGTTGACCAATCAGAAATTTTCACTGAAATTCCACTTTGGGACAAAATTAGCATATTTTCCTTATCAAAACCTCAAGAATCAGCCATCTCTCAATTATAAAAATATTATTACAACAAGCAACAGTTAATCAGCAACTTGAAAAACTTGAAATTTCTCAATATTTACAATAACAAAATTGAAAATAATTTTTTCTGGAATAGATCAGTTGACCAGTTTGGATTTGAGTTATAAAGTAAGTGATGAAGGAATAGGTCAATTGGAGCAAATACACAGCAAGGCAATCAATCTATATGTTGTTAACATGCTCAAGAATGTAAATTTCTTATAACATTATTAGAAACCTTCTAACTCTTTATTTCTTACTACACTATACTACACATGAGCACACTATCATACAAGAAAACCTTCTTTTAGATTCTTCTATCAGAAACTTTGATCCTCCAAAATAAACCTCATTTAGTTCTCTTAGCAAATAAATACCATACACAAAAACTGAAGCGGGTGAGAGCTACAAAAGTGCTTCATCTTGTCATGCACTTTACTAAGTAAATTTGGTTGACATCCTAAAATAATCGAGCATGTCAAGACATCAAACAAAATGCCAAAAGTCAATTTACGAAAATGTGCACCAAATAGAAAAAAATACAAACAAACTAATTAACAATAACACTCTCGTTGTGTTTTTTAATTTTTATATTCGAAAGCAAGATTCTTGTTAACATTTTGACATCAATAACTGTCAAGTGACAGAAATAATGGGAAATAAACATTCTCATAGGAGAGCAAATAGTTTTATTGGAGAAAATGTTGGAGGAGGTGGAAATAAACATGGTTCGAATAAAAGGCATTCAATGAAAGAAGATTCGTCTAACGGAAACGAAACACAACTTTCGGAACAACAACAAGGAAATAAGAGCCCAGAAACCACACCATCACTCTCTCTGGATAAACTTCAATTTAATCAACAAAAAGAAACCTTTCGTACAGATTCGAATAATTCTTCTTCTTCATCAAAACGAAAGAGTTTACCCACAAATTTAAAGATTGGAACACCAACACCTAAAATGGATTCTCCAGCAACTGAAAAGTTTTGGTTTCTATTAAATACTCCACCTCAACATTTACAACATTCGAATATTGATTCGAATATTTTCGAGAAACCTTCATCTTTGGATATTAACAGTCATTCGTCATCTCTGACAGGTCCTAGATCTTCAATATTTGATGAATATATTAGTGGAATAACAATGGATGTCATTTCGGCGACTAGTCCAGCAATTGATGTTGATGGACTTTCGAATAATGTGAAAAAAGAAAGAAAGGCATCACCTTCTGCATTTCAAGCAATTACCAATTATAAGAATAAGAAAAATTCGATTATTAATCATTCGAATAATGAAAAGGAAACTAAAAGAAGTGCAAGTTCAGTTTCGAATATTCAACCTTCGATACCTAAATATTTGGAAGAGGAAAAGATTGATTTTTCACAGCCCTTAATTACACCTCGATATGTCAAGGATTCGTCTATTGGTTTATCAGATTCTGTCGATGCATCCATTTCACATTTGAAACATTTAATAAGTGATGATTTTGTGGAAACTAGACGAAACAATTTGGCAGTTCAGAGCTCTAAAGAATTGAATCCTCCTGATTCTAATGATTCTTCACCATTATTGATCGATACCCTTGTAAATAATTCACCAAATATTAACAATTCATCATCTAGGAACATTCCACCACTCAAATTGAAACAAGTTTCGAATGTTAACTCACCATCTGGTGGTGCTTTATCAGCTCATTCCACACCTAAGAATTCACCTCTCCCAACAGCCATTCCAGTATCTACAGAAGTCAACAGTGATGCTTCTACAGTGACAGGTGCCACTCACAGATCGACACGATCATTGCCATGGTTTATTTCACCAAAAAGTCCAACACAAGATTCTGAGAATAATTCACCACCACCTCCTCCAAATCAAAACAACAATTCGAAACGAAAGAGCAGAACTAGTGTGAGTGATATTAAGGGAGGAGATATTGATTCATTGCGGGAGGAGATTCGTAAATTTGAGTCACAAACACCACAGAATGAGGAAAATGATTTGAATCAAGAACCACCAACTAAATATTGGGATGAAATTGAGGAGGAAGAACAAGATAGAAAACGAAAGTCACTGAATGCAATTTATGAAAATTTTGAACATTTACAAAATATTGATGTGGTGATTCCGAGAGGATCTGCAAAATTGTCAGCTTCCTCTTCTGGTTTTCTGAATAATAAGAGAGCTTCAATGACATTGACTTCAGTAATTTGTGGGACAGATCTACAGGGATCTTCAGATTATATCAAGAATCAAAAGAGGAGTAGTGTGAATCTTTCGAATATTATATTTACGGATAAGAATGGAGAACAAACGATTGTTACACCAGAAGCTAGTGGAGCTCTCTTTGGAAGAGGTGACTCCGTTGCTAATATTGATGTTGCTTCTGATAGGCAACGAGCCAATCGTAGACTCTCACTTCGTCAATCCCTAACACAATCGTTCAATGAAAAAAGAAGGTCAGCTACTGCCTTTCTCAATTCCAAGCTGTTCAAGCTCTGATAAACAATTCTAATTTGGGCGCTTTTTCAAATATTTCTTCCATTATTTTCATCTATTTCAAAATAGTTAATTTTGAAGGGAAGTTGAAAGGAAGTTTTCAGCACAATATTTAAAAATCCTCAAACTCTTCCCATTCTTCATCTTGTTTTACCTTTTTAGCAACTGCCTCAGCAGCATCCTCAGTCAAAGCCATTCTAATTTTACGTTTCTTCTTTTGTTCCTTATGTTTTTCCCTCATAATTTTGGTAAATTCCTCCTCAGTGAGGGGAGCTTTTTTTTCTTGCTTTTGTTCCATTTCACTTTTAAATTTCTCAATCTCGTCTCTCTTCATTACTTGCACTTCATCAAGTCCAATAATTGGTTTCTTCATCTTTGAATCCATACTCTCCATCAAGTAATCCAACTGTTTATCAATACTAATTGGAGCAACACTTCCCTGATTATTCTTTCCCAATCCAGATCCTTGCTCAAATCCCATTCTTTTCAACAATTTGAGTCCAACCGATTGTTTTCCAGCTTCCTTTTCCTCCTCCTGTACAATCAAACTCTTTGAAAGAGACAATTTTGCCTTTTCCAACATTTCCTCCTTGATGTTATAATCACGAATTTGTTTCTTCAAATGATGAGCCTTTTTAAATTGTTTCTCCTCTCGAGCCGTGTTGTAGGCTTGAATCAATTCGAGAGGAACATTTCGGAAGGAGAGTTTCTTGGACGGAAAGGCTTCTGATGGATGAATATTTGGAAGCCTTTCGTGATCAACGGATTCAAGGGATTTGATAAATTGATCGTCCATGTAATCCAATTCTTCTTCATCTTCAGACTTTTCTTCTTTTTGATTTTTTGTTCTTGTTGTTGATGATAGTGTAGTATTGTTGTATTCTTCATCATCGGATGATGACGATGAAAACAAGTCATCCATTTCCACCTGATGATTTTCAGTCATTTTTTTAAAATTTATAAACCTAAAGAAATTTAACATGATTGCATTTTCATTATGCAAACAAGTTTGTTTGGTAATGATCCAACAAGAATTGGAAGTCAATTTCTTTGAATCTTGATTTCATGTTCTTGTTGTTGATGATAATTCATATCTTCATATTTAACCTTATCATTAAGGTTGAATATTATCACCACCAAATATTATTAATAAACTTGTAATTAAGCATGCACTAAAACACGTTGTGCTTTTAGTAAGGCCTTACTATTGATTTTACGTAATGTTACATCAACAACAACTGTAATATGATTCAACTGATAAAATTGTGTTATTCCTCGTTGATGAAGTGTAAATTTCACGATTCGAAGCATATTCCTTCCCAATTTCCAGAGATAACAAGATGTATCGTTCGCTATTAAGGAAGGAATAAGGACAAGTATAGAGATTTCCCTGGCTGATTTTAACGACCAATCCAATTCCGCCCCTACCGTAAAATGATTTGTGTCGATACAGTTCAAAGTACAGGCGCAAGATTTCTTACAATTTTACAGGCCTTAAATAGCACGCAACTCTCACAGAACTATTTTTCCACAACAAAAACAAACAAAAAACAACAAAACAACAAATCAACATGTCTGACTACGAAGCCCAATTCCTCCCAAAGTCTGGTTCTCTTCCATTCAAGAAATTAGCTCGTGAATTGTATGCTGAAGTTAAGGGTTGGAATAGTGATTTGCAAAAGCTCAATCCTCAAATGGTCTTCTTATTGGATTGGGATAGTGTTACCTCACTCCCAGGTGATCTCAAGTACAAGTTTGGTTCATGGGACACTGAAGATGCTCCAGCCGTCACTGGTGTTGTCAAATTCTTGATGAAGTCAAGAAGAATTGCCAGATTGTGTTCTGACATTCCAGAAGAATTTATGAAGGATCCTGATTGTAAGGAAGCTTTCCTTGGATTAACCAAGATGACTTTGAAGATTGTTCACAATCCAAACAAGGAAGCCAATGATTTTGAAGGTTATTCCTATAAGGTTAATGGAACTGAATTGGATGTCACTTTGGAATGCAATGTTCCAGTTTTGATGACTGAAGGAAATTGTGGTTATCTTCCAAGTTCTGATACTGAAGCTGAAAAGTTGATGCATTCTTTCTAAATAATATATTAGATTAAATAAAATGTTGATATTTAATAGTGTGCATTGAAAGCCAGAATATCAACCTTATTGGTACCCTCATCATCATGATAGCCATTGTAATCAGAAAATTCTTTTCGGAATAATAATTTAAAGGTATTTGGTTGGAAGGGATGAGTAGTATCACACAGAAAAGTCTATTCAATGAAAAATCAACTATTTCACATTCTGAAAGTGCAAATCTTTCAGGACTCTTGTAAATAAGGTACTTTCTGTATTCAGTCTCTATTGTGTTGCTTTCTTCTGGTGTCAACACTTCGAACCATACTACTTCATTGGTAAGTGAATAAAAAGGAGCAGTTCTAACAGGTAATTTTTGATATCTTTTGTCCGTTTTGCTAATTACTTGTTCTGGAGGTGAAGTCATTGACTTGTACCAAATGTATGTATTTGTGGAATATTCATCACCTAAAACAGGTAAATTAGTGGATGGAACTGGTTGATAGGCATCTCTATAAAAGTTAATATCCTTAGGATGGAAAGAACCAATTTTTTGAGTTCCTGGATCAACTGTAAGAAACTCAATCTTCTTGGAGAGTCTGGAATCAAATATTTCATTATTAATTATGGTATCAATATCATTTAAAGTATAAATAAAGTGTGGTTTCCAATCTGGATTTCTCTTTCTTATAATGTTAGATGTATTTTCTTTCAATCTGCTGTCTAAAACAAACGTATCAAGTGAGCGCGTAAAGGTATCTTCTTTTTCTAAATTAATCTTGGCAACAACCTTGCGAGCTCTTTCCAAAGTTTCAAAGATAATACTTGGAGGGTATTTGTGTGATTTGATGATGTTCAGATCAAGATAATCTGACTTGACATTTAGCTCACCAGAAAGTACAAGTACTGAATTTTCCTCAATTGACTGTGCTTGGTTATCTCTGTCATACGCGCCTAAAACACGTTGTGGGTATCTAGAGCGACAAGAGTTATCGAAAGCAATAAGTCTTGCCAAGCCATGCAATAAATACTCAGTAGAATTAAATGAATATCTTCGTGGATATTGCAACAATTGATTTTGAACTTTAGCAGTATCATAACCTGGAATTGAAACAGAGAAACCTCTCTTACTGTACTTGTATAATCTATATTCATAAGTTGTAGATTGTCTATCAACATCAACAAGATTAGTATGATACATTAAAGCTCTTCTTGCTCTTTCACTTGACCAAACTTGATATCCATCATACCCCATAGTAGCACAATCAATGTCAAAACCTAACAAAACTTCAGCAGGTGATTTGTAAATTCTCAAAACAACTTGAATTGGTCTGAGTTTGTAACAATAGAATGTAACAGCAAATTTAGTTCTAACAACCAGAACATCATCATTAACCGTACATTCTTCAGTTCTGATAACACCATCCTCATAAGCCCTGACCATTTCTCCGCTTAAGAAATCTTGACTATTAGTTTTTTCAGAATATTTTGTAATTAATCTAGATCTCATATTTTTCTTAATGGTTTGATAAATGTGATTGATTTTTTCTTCTGCTTGTTCTTCACTTAGAGCATACAGAAAGAGATCAATATCTGAATTTTTAAATGAGCTTGGAATATTTGCCTCTGGAATGAAAAAAGCGTCTTCTTTCTTTTCATCCACCACAGGAACAGCTGTTGTTTTAGAAATGATGGGTGTATATATTTTCTCAAGATTTCTCAAATTTGTTCTCTTATCGTCTGTTGTGTAACTAAGAAACCTGTATATAGTCGTGTCCCCCCTAAGATATCTATCCTTATCAAGCTTTGTTTGTGTTAATGACTCACCTTCCTCTGCTGATGATTCTTTTTTCAATCTTTTCCAATAACCAAAATCTGAAACATCATTCTCTTCATTATCATCCATCATTGGTTTGGAAGACTTTTTTCTTTCAGAACCATTGCGTGGTAAATTAAGACCAACGGTACTGATATTTTCGGAAGTGTCAGGTTTCAAACAACAAGCAAGAATACCACCACCTAATTTAAATATTATAAATTAAAATCGAAGAATTAATTGAACTCACCTGCAGCAATTACATTGTTCCAATCCAGACCTTTGAGTGCTCCTTGCGTGAATCTATGCCAATTCAATTTGAAAGCGCCCAAATTAGTTAAAAGTTGAGGTTTAGAAACTTGTCTGGAATATCTGGTTTTGTCAGATAAATCTAATAATTTAGGACATTCTCCAAAATCAATTCTGTACTTTTCTTGATCATTAATTTCTTCTAAATTTTGGAAGAGAGGTGATAGTAATAGATATGGATCGTTCAATAATGGTGATTCTCTTTCCTTTGCATATATTTCTCTCAATTTGTCTTCCTTTTCTTTCAATTCAATATTGTCTTGGCCAATCTTTTCAACTGGGTAACGTAATGGATCAAGATAATCATTAATAATAGAGATGACACCATAAAATTCTGCTTCTTGCTTCAATTGATGTTTCTTTTCCCTTGAGAGGTTTTTTGGGAAATGAGTAAATTTGCCACTAATCATATATGAATGAATAAGGGCGAATAACTTTGGACTTCTATCAATAAAGATGCACCCATTCTCATTCAAACAAAAATTTGGTGCTAAAATGTACTTGGAAATGAGGAAAGTTTCATGCTGTTGCAAAATGGCAAAAGGAATTGTGAAAATTTGACCAGAAACATCAATTTTAACAGACAGGTCAGTCTCTAAATCATTTCCCAAGATGAAGTTCTGGTACTTGCTAACTAATTTGAGTGATAATTCTTTGGCCACCTTCTTTGATTCATTGATGGAATCTTCAACTAGAAGGAGTCTTTGTCTAACTTGTTCAATTGGAATTTCAACCTTTTGAGGTACTATTAATGATTTAGATTCTGAATTCTGATCTTCTGTTTCAGCAAACTTGCCCAAATTCGACCCATGTAACTTGTGATACTTTTCGAGTAAGAATAGAATGTACTCTGATAACTTTTCAGTTGCAAAATAATTGGACTCTTCCAAAATGTTCTCCAACTGATTGGCATTCAATTTCTCAACACCAAGCGATTTAACTTTTCCTCCCTGTCTCAAGTGCTCTAAAACATATTCGAAATAGTCTGGATTTCTATCAGGGAATGAAATTGCAGACTTGTTTGCTTCATCTCTCTCAATGCCAATTCCAGAATCAAACATGACTTTGAACAAGTTCGGTTGTGCTGTGACATATTCACAATCATCATCTTTTGTTTCTTCTTTTTCATCGTTTTCGTCTTCATCTTGTTTTTCTTCTTCACCTTCCTTCATTTCTTCGTCATTATCCAAATTTTCTAATTTTCTTCCTCTTTCTCCCACCAAAGTTCTCATTGTTGTGTTAAAGAATTTTCCTATGGATGATCAAAATATATTAAATTCGAATAAAGATGAAGTTGATAGAACTTACCACCAACTTTCAACACAACAACTTTTTCTTGTTGCATTTGCTGGAGAGAATCAAGCCTTTCATCACGGGAAGATGATGATGATGAAACTTGTCTTTTATCATCGACCAATGCCATTACCATTGAATCAGCTCGTTTTTGTAGAGTCAATCGATGAAGCGCATCAGAAACTTGATCAATGAGTCTATCATTTTCATCCGAAACAATTTGATCAACTGAATCAGAAGCCTCCAAAATTTTTCTCTTCTTTGAATCATAATCTGCTGATGCCGACATTTTTTTTACATCAATTTTCTTTAATTTTGAGGAAATCGTACTAATCTCCCGCGTTCATCATCACAACATGTTTTTTAATCATAAAATTAAAATCACTATGAGAATCAGGCTCCTTAAACAAATTCATATACTTGTTCTTTTTCTCTCAATTCTATTATCTCAACTCTGGCCATAGAGTGCATTGACAAAATTCTTCCTTTACTGTCCGCTACCATTCACCTTTACAGTTCATCATTAAAAAATTAAAGCAAAACGATATGATGATGAGGAGAGGCGTTTTCTTCTTGTTATTGTTGTTGCTGTTGGTCGTGTTGAGTGTTGTTGTTGTTTCTGCTGTTGAGGGGAAGAAAGCTAAGGGAACTACCAAGGCTTCTATTAAGGCAACAGCAAGATTAATAAAACGATCAAAACAACAACAAAACCAACATGGTAAGAAGGTGATGCGTAAACAAGCAGTTGTTGTTAGGAATAGAAATGCTCCTCGGGTTACCTTGAATGCTAATAAGGATGGCAACCCAACAAAATCAAAGAGCGTTAAACTGAAAATTCTTAAAAAGAGAACAAGTAAGAGGAAAACGGAATCAAAGGTGGATTTGGGATTAATTGGAGATTTGTCAAAATCAACTTTTTTAACTGCAAATCAATCTAAGAGATTTATTGATGAATTGTTGAAAGATGTTAAAACTAGACCAATGAAATTACTTTATAATGCATCTAAGGATGGATTCAGAGCCAGATCTTTCCATTCAAAATGTGATAATCAAGGACCAACTGTAACAATTATTAAGGCAAGCTCAGGAGCTATCTTTGGAGGTTATACTTCAGTGAGTTGGAGTTCAGCAATGTTGGATTTCTTCCCAGATTCCAAAGCTTTCTTATTTAGTTTAATTGGACCAAAGAGAGATGAAAGATTCAAGAAATTGATTCAAGATGGACCACATTCTGCATATGTCAATTATTCAGTTTATCATAGATCTGTTGATCATCCAACTTTTGGAGGTGGACATGATATTTTCATTGCTAGAGGTACCAAGAAAAGTTTCACTAATCCATTCACTTATTCAAATTTGGGAAAGGATTACTTGACTGGATCAACTCGTGAATTTACCACTCTAGATTACGAAGTTTACTCTCTTTAATTGATCTGAAGTTCAATAAATAAGTTTTGCTTTGTGACATTAATACTATAAAAATTTGAAGAGCTATCCAAATGAAATTAGGAAATTAATTTAGTTTTAGTTTATTATTTACAAATTATTAGTTTTTAAATGATTATTTTCCAAGGGCCTTATTTAACAATTCTACAGTGTGTTTCCAAACTGTTTCTCTGATATTATCAGTATGACTCTTTGTCACACTTGCTGGCTCTCCGTATTGATTCAATAAATGGAAGCCCTTTCGTGTAGAATCTGAACTCAATGCATTATAAGTATATTCAGCATATTTCTCAGGAGATTTAGCAGCCACTACCTTGACAACTTCACATGCCCATCTCAAAACAGTTGGAAAATCACGACCCCATTGAGTAGCCACAATTCCAGGAGCTTGATGAATGAATGCAATATTTTGATTGCCTTCCTCTTTGGATAATTGATCCATGGCGAGATCATTGTAAAATCCAGCTGCATCTGCTGCATTCTTCAATGTAAAGTTATGTTTCAAATCCAAATCATCCAATTTGGTGTAAGGTGAATGAACACCAGCTGATAAAACTGTCAAGACTCTCACATCTGAATTTTTTGATGTCAATCTCAATAAATCTTGCAATTGTCTCACAAACATAACTCTTCCATAATAATGAAGTGCCAATTTTACATCAATTCCTTCCTTTGTTTCTGTTCTTCCATTCATACTTGCAATTCCCTGTGAAAGAACACAATAATCCAATCGATCATGATTTTGTTTATATTCCTCACACACTTTTTCAATATCCTTCATGAGAGAGGCATCCACTTTAATCATTTCAAACTTTCCTTCTGGATTCAATTTTTTCATTTCTTCAATAATTTCCTTTCCTGCTTCTTCACTTCTTCCCATGATTGAAACATTGAATTTTTGAGAGGCAAATTTAATTGCCAATGCTCTTCCGATACCTGATGTACCTCCAACACACAGTGCTTGTTTAGTAGCCATTTTGTTTCTTGATAAATTTGTAGAGATGATTAGCTATGAGAGAGATGTTGTTTGTTTTGTTTTTTTTTGAAATTATTTGAGAGATTTGAAAAAGTTTTTAAATTACCGAAAAGAAAAATTGGTGCGCACGCAGTTTGTAAGTGTTGAGGGAAATTAAAACGTACGAGCAGGATTGTTTTAGGATGTCAATAAGAAACATTAGAAAATAATAGACCTTGGTTCTGTACCTAGTGCCTTTCTTAAAGAAAATGAGCTGGTGCAAGTTAAGGAATCGAACACTTGTCCATTGCAAAATTTTATGAATTTGAATGAAAACGCATCAAAAGTTAGTGCACAAACATGGAAATTATTGTATTGTAGTGATAATTACAAGATATTTGGTTGACATTTCACATTTGTTAATAAGATAACAAGCATAGAAGTTCCTCATCCATTTTCAAAAAATTATCTCTACACTACACGTTCCCCATTTTTCGTAAGATTTTAAAGTTGTCATTAATTTGCTCGCTTTTTGAAACTCTTGAAGAATACATAATATTATCATCATCAAATAACAGCAACCGTTATAGCTGCTCAACTACAACAACAACAATAATAGTAACAATAATAATATCATATTTAAAATCTCCGAAGATAAAAAAAACGAATATTATAATAATAATACAATAGTATAATCAAGAACAAACGTGATCATTCAATATTTATTTATTTATCAAACTCTTATAAGAGAGAATCAACAACAACAACAATAATTTTACAAATATAATTTATTAAACTTTCGAGAAATGTCTGATCAGGCTGATGATTTTCAACAACATACAGGATATTCGGAAACTATTGTAGAAGAAGAATTGTTTCACTTTGATGATTCTGATGATTTTCAACATCATACCCACAGTTCTTCTACCTCCTCCTCCAACAATAGATCAATAGATATTGAACCACAATCTCCAATGTTAGAAGAAGTTATTATTGATAATGTAAAACAAGTCGATGAGAGTGAAGAATGTATTTTGGATGAAAGAAGACCTCAGGCGCTTCATCTGTTTTCATCTAGTCCACCTCCAGCACATAATATGAAGAGTCCTACCAATAATTCACCAACAGTGATTGATCACTCAACTCCAACAACCACTCCAACCAATGGAAGCGTTCGTTCTCCCACTCAACAATATCAATCACCTTCAAGTGCAACACCAACAAGAAACTCTCCATCTTCATCATCCTCTTCAACAATAACAACACAATCATCAAATAATACTCCAATTAACAATTTCAATAGTGGAGTTGCAATTATTGGAAGTCCATCAAAAGGAATAACAATGAATAATAATAATATCATGATGAGTCCATCCAGCAAGGAGAGTGATATTCTCAACTTGACACCAATTAATATCAAGACGCTACCATCTTCAGTTCAATCACAAGGAATCAACTCTACCAGTACTCCATCATCCATGACTCCAGTTCATGGAACTTCAACTTCGAATATTAGTGCAGCTGCCCTTCTTTCATCCTCTCCTATTATGCTCGGATCAGCCATGCACCAAATTATGGAACAACAACAGCAGCAACAACAACACCAAAGTCCATCTAACACCTCTCCTCGACTTCACATCCCAAAGAAGGAGCCACAACCACAAGGTTCTCCAACCACAGCCAATAATTCATCTGTCCAAGCTACACCTGGATCTCCACAATCAAAAAGAAAATTCTCAAACGGAACACCTGTTGGTCTTATCCCTGTTACCAATACAAGTGCAACAACAACAAACAAACCATCAGTAGCTACAGTATCAATGAGTAGCAACACTTCAACACCAACTGGAAGTGTAGCTTCCACTCCGACTACATCATCAGGATTCGCCAATTCGATCGGTTCGGCAATTTCATCCATTGCTTCTACTTTGTCTGCTTCCTTGTCTGTTAGTAGCACTGTTTCTAATACTAGTGGCACTGTTTCTAATTCATCATCAGTATCATCAAATGTGGACAAAACTGTTACTTCCCCAACAAGTGTCAGTACTAACCACCATAATTTAAGACCATTGACTGATTGTTGTGAAACCCACAAAGACCAAAAGTTGAACACTTGGTGTCATACTTGTGGAGATGAATTGATTTGTGCTATCTGTGCCATTTCAAAGCACAAGGGACATGACTGTGACCTAGTTGAAGAAGTTTATCAAAAAGAAAAACAAGAGCTTAAAAACCAAATTTTCCAAATGCAACAAAACATTTCAGAAAAAATGGAAAAATTAGCTCGTGACAAGGGAACAATATCTCACACTTATGAAGATGGCGTCAAGTCGATCAATGAAAATTTTGATATCTTGGAAAAGAGGTTGGCTCAAAAGAGAAAGGAATTGACAGAAAAGTGGAAAATTTGTTGTGAAGATGAAATTTGTGAAAAGATTTTGAACAGTGGAATGCAACAATTATCTCAAATTAAGTTTTTGACAGACGGTTTTATGGAAAATCTTTCCAAGATGGACTTGGCTGAATTTATTCAATCCAAGACCAAGAAGAGTTTACTCATTCCTGTACTTGTTCAACAATTCCAAGAAAATTTAAGAAAGATTGATAGAAGTTACTTGTCTGATACTTTGGATGTTTGTGTAAATTTTGATTCGATGAAAGAACTCATGGAATCAATAGACAAACTTGGTGCCATTGGTCCAAAGAATGCTCCTTCATCCAATGCTAATAGTAATGTATCATCCTCAAGCTGTACAAGCTCTCCATCCGTTCACAGTAGTCCAAACACTCCTGTAATACCTACCCAAGAAATCAAATGTAAAATTGAGGGTAAATTCGTTTTAGGTTTTGGTGGAAAAGGAACAGAAGACGGTCAATTTTCCAGCCCAACCGATATCGCCATAGATCCGAGTGATAATATCATAATTTGTGATAATGAGAACAATCGTGTTCAAATATTCGACAAGCAAGGAAAGTTTTTGAGAAAGTTCTCAGTCCCTAAACCATACGGTGTCACTTTTGATGCCAAGGAGGGTGTAATCCTTGTTACTAGTGATGATCATTGTGTGTATGCCTTTGATAAGTCTGGAACTGAGGTTGGAAAGTTTGGTTCAAAGGGAGCAGAGTATGGTCATTTCAGTTATCCAACTGGTATTATTGTTTCAGAGACCAAGTCTCAAATACCTGGTAAAATTATTGTATGTGACCATCATAATCACAGAATTCAAATGTTTGACAAGTATGGCTCATTCCTCAAATCTTTTGGAACTAATGGTACTAATCCAGAAATGGAAGGAGGTTATTTCTATGGACCTAACAGTTTGGATATTGACATTGATGGTAATTTGGTAATCACTGATAGATACAATTGTAGAGTCCAAGTTTTTACATTGGATGGTACCTTTGTTAGAAAATTCTCTGTCAAGAAACAAGAAAATTCTGAATGTGACCCAACTGGTATTTGTTGTTTGAAGAAAAATATTGGTCTCAATTTTGCAGCCATTTGCGATTATGCAAACAATAGAATTCAAATTTGGAACTTGAGAGAGGGTGTAATTATCAAACAATTTGGATGTTATGGTTCTGAAGATGGACAATTCGATGGACCTAATGGAGTTTCAATCACAAGTGAAGGTCATCTCGTTGTAGTAGATTATCACAATCATCGTGTACAAATATTTAAATAATTATTTATTTTTAAACCCAGTTAGTTTACTTTTTGGAAATTGTTTTATTATTGAAAAGTTTCAGGTCTTCCTTAGTACTTCCTTATAGGAATGAAACTTTTGATTGTAAGAAATAATTGCATGAAAAAATCATGATTACAAAGTATTGGTTAAAAGCATCTCATTCCAAGATTAGAACTCGCTCAACTTATTCAGCTTTAGTTTTAACAGTTTCTCCTTTCCAATTTGAAAAATTAAAAAGATTTTCCAACACCTTGCGATGTAACAGTAAAATCACACACCCTTAAATTTTCAAGGTCAACACAATTCAAAACCCTAACCAACCTCAATTTGTACAAATTTGTTAGTTCGCACTTTTGCATGTCGGTCGGTTTTTTGGTTGACGGCAGAAATTTGACAATTTTCAACCATCATCAAAAAAAAATTTCATAACTTGCAGGTTGAATCATCATGAAAGCTAATAATCAACCGGTGATGATTCCAACCTTGACATTGAAACCACCACCATCAGCACCAACTTTGACATGTGGCAGTTCGTTTCAAATTCCACACTATAGTCAGAAAAAACCATTTCATAAAGATTGCTTTTCTTTTGCTGGGGTTATTTATGCTGGATTAAATATTAATATCATTTCGACAAGTGGCAGCGATGAAATTAAAAATTCCGAAATGGTAAAACAAAGAACAAATATTGAAAATCGAGAATTTTTCGAACAGTTTCTGTTTAAGAAGAATAGAAGAGGATTATTGAGTTGTCTGACAGAATTGGAGAATGTCAAATATAAATTGACATTTGAAAGCAATCAAATAATTTCACTTATTAGAATATATGACAGAATTATAAGAAAGTATCTTGTCAGTGTTGTGGATGTTAAACACTCCGATAATATTGATACTGTTTTGTCTTCGAGTGCACATTCCTTATTAGGAATATCAAGAGAAATGCAACGAAAAATTTGTGAAAAATTTGAGAATTTTATTCGAATGAAAGAGTGGACAGAATTGTGGAATGCTATATTTACGAGTGTGAAATTGGAAACTGTGGTGGAAGAGCAAGCACCAGCAGCGGCAGCAGCAATTCCAGAAGTCGAATTCGAATGAGAAAGTTTCTCATGAAAAGACGAGTAGTATTTCACATTTTTTTAAACGATTTTCAATGAGACCGAATAAGAATTCTTCACCATCTGCATCTACTACATCTAATAAGGATGAACAATCGTTTATGAATCAGTTAAAGGTTGAGGAACCGATTGTAAAGAGAAAGAGAGGAAATTCAATGACGTTTCGATTTAAATCATTGAAGGAGGATGAAGTGAAACAATTATACGAATCTTTTCAAGTTCAGAATGAAAGTGGACGACAATATGGATTAACGAGTGAAGATTTTATGCAAATTTTCGAGCCATTACAGGCCGAGCTCATCAAACAATTGAAAATTCTATTCGACCAATATGTGGAAGATTCGGACGATTATGAAATGTTTCTCATTGACAGAATTCAAAAGAGAAATCCAAATGATTTCCCAGAGGTCTTCTCCAAACCAATTGTTACCAAATCAGCAGGAGCTCTGTTAAATGTTCACTCGACCAATCAATCGAAAACTCCCTCTCCAAACACTAGCTCTCTCACTAGAGAGCATTCCTTCCCTCCCACGATCACCACCTCCTCAGAGGAGATTTCAACCTGTGAATCCATGTCTCCAGTTAGTCCATCGAATGATCATTCTCCTATTCACGTCACTCCTCAACAAACAGAAAGATCCAAATTATTCATTCCAATTCCAAATTCCAATCATAGAAATTCATCAGAATTTGACAATGACACATGGAGTGAACCAATGGCCTCTCCTAGAAAACTTAAAGCTCTCTTTTCAGTGGAAGAAAAGAAGAAGAAAAAGAAGGAAAAGGCAAAGACTGAGAGAAAGGTACAAAGCATTCAAGAACAAATGAACAAGTACAATAAGATTATCTCATCTCTCTATAAGGATCTTATTGAAAGAGATTTGGAAATTCAACAATTGAAACAACAAGTTGCTCAATTTGAAGATAATTTATCAACAACGGAGGATGAACACACTGAAACGGAGGAATTGGAAAGTTTTGATGAGCTTTAAATTTTTTTTTGTGAAATTAATTTTTTAAAATAATGTAAAATAATATACAATTGTAATAGTAAAGTCGGTTACCAAATTAAGAACTAATTGTAAATAAAAAATTCAATTAGAATATTAACTGTGGAAAACATTTCATTGTTTATAAATGAATTTACCGAACCACAACCACAAAAGTTGTATTTCTGACTATAGGAGAAGATACTCTGTATTTTACTTAAGAAAATTGAGTATTAATGCTTCAAACTGATTATTTGAAATTAATTAAATCCGTAAGGGATTAAAACTAGTAACAGTTTTTAGGGAGTTGTTTCTTGCTGCAGTTTTTGATTTAACAATAAAAAATTCTAACCACAATAAAAAAGAACAAAAATTAATTAACAAGATTTACTGTTTTGAAAACACATTCGGCAAAGTGAAACTTTTGGTTTCATTAATACTGTTTCATATGATGGAAAACTTTATTTACACATTAATTATTAACCGAGGAGACCGGCGTGTCACCAACTCATGACGGACTACATCACTATGCTATCTGAGATTCAGTAATCTGTTTTGCTTAAAGTTTTTAATGTACAATTTTACTATTGATTATTCATCGTCACCTCCACCCTGAACTTCTGCTTCTGGTTCAGCTTCGGCTTGTTCATCTTCTTGGTTGTCAAGACCTTGAATATTGTCATCTTCTGGTTGCATTACATCTCCTTCCTCTTCATCGAGAGCTGCCTTCTCTTCCTGCTCTTCTTCCTGTTGTTCTTCTGCTTCTTCATTGGCTTCTTCTTGGTTTTCTTCTTCCTTTTCAAGCTCATCAAGTTGTTCTTCAGCTTCTTCGAGAGCCTGCTCAACCTTTTCAATATCTTCCTGTAACTTTTCCAAATCTTCTTCTACCTTTTCAGATGATTCTTCTTCATTTTCTTCCATATTTTCTTCCTCCTTGTTTTCTACTTCTTCAGCTTCCTCTTCTACTTCCTCATTTGCCTCTTCTTCCTTATTTTCTTCCTCCTTATTGTCTACTTCTTCGGCTTCCTCTTCACTTTCCTCCTTATCTTCTTCTTCCTTGTTTTCAATTTCTTCAGCTTCCTCTTCAATTTCTGCCTTTTCCTCAATTTTTGGAGGTGAATTCGATCCACATTCACTTGTTTCTTCTTGTTTTTTCTCCGATGTAGTTTCCTCTTCAGCTTGCACTTCTTTTGCCTGTTCCTCTACCTTAGCTGGTTTATGTTTTCCTGATTTACTCGATTTTGATGAGGTTGTTGATTTGTTATCATCATGATCTTTTTGTTCCTTTGGTGGCTCCTTCTTGAATGATTCCTTCTTAGTACTTCTGTGAGTCTTTGGTTCATCCTCAACTTTTTCCTTTTCGGCAACATTAGAGGTCGAAGAACAAGCACTTCCCATTTTCTCTAGTGTATATGATTATTATAGGGTTTGATTATTATACAAAATCGTATTGCAAATTCCTAGCTTGATTAAGGCAGGATCGGGTGCGTCTATTTTTTTTTTTGAATTTTAGTGATAACAATCCTATGATGCGTTTGCTGAAACTTTACGGTGAACGTGTTGTTACGAGGGAAAACATTAATCGGTTGGTGGTGATGTACTTGGATAAACATGTGGGCGGTATTAAAGAAAATTGTACTTGGTTTTGGCGGCAAATTTTAAAGCAGCAAAGAAGTTACCTTTGATTTGTTGTTAGAGAATGGTTGAATGGTATTGAAAAGATTTAAATAGTGAATTATTATTCCAAAGTTGTTTTTAATGTTATTTATGGACAATTGTGTTTGTTGCCTCACAACATTACCGTTAAATATTTTAATAAAAAAATAAAAAATACAAAACCTTCTTCATCACCAACTTGGATAGGAAGAAGGCTTCCGAATAAAGTTGATAAAGAAAAACTTTTTTAATTTGATCAATTTAATTTACAAATATCCACACGATGGAGCATTGACACAATATGAAGGTAATTTCCAAACAGATGGATCTGGCTTTTTCACTTCAAAATCTTTGAAATATTGAATAGAAAATCCATCAACAGTTCTAAACCAAAAAGCAGCAGGTGTTTGATAGCCACTAACTTGATCTTTTGGATAGAAACCATATCCGAAAGGTTCTGCAGGATCATTCTGATCAGTATCCAAAACCCACCAATCCACTGGCTTACCAAAAAGTGCAGCACTTGAATTGTAGAACATGTTGTTCAAAAAGGTTGGTTCTGGAGGATGGAAAACTTGTTCACCAAACACACAACATTTTGGAAATGGAGATGGATCCAAACTAATGAGATAACTTGTCAAATTAACATTAAGGAAATTACATCTGAATTGATTGATCTTGTCTGTGAGTGGACCAAAGATTGGAACACAATAATCATCATAAACTTCTAACATGGCTTTTTGAGACCAATCATAATAGGTAGTTCCAGTACCAAGCATGTATTTCACATTCTTTGGTGGAAGAGGATGCCAATCAAGTGGAATACTAGAATTGTCATTGGTAGAGGCAACAATTCTCCATTTCATGGTAAAGTGTGGAGCAAGAAGTGGACGTTGAGGTTCTTTGATACTTTGTTTCGAATACTTTAATTTACCACCACTAATAATGGAACAAATGCAAAGATTACCAACAAGGAACACAACACAAAGGCATTGCCGAGAATCGATCTTGACATTTTTTTAAGAGATAAGAAAAAACAACACAAGAATCACGACGAAGTGTTTGAGGAGTTACTCCGCAGGAGATTTAATTTAAAGCTCCTTGTAAACAATATTACAGCGCAAGATAATTCTGGAATTTTCTACATCCATACTATTTATTGATTTGTTGTGTTCGACTAGTTTTCACATTTCAATAAATTTCTAGAGATCAAATTTCCCGCCAATTTACAAAAGAAAAAAATGCATCGATTTGAATCTCACAAGAACATCTCTTCTACATCATTGGGAAGTGTGATCAGTCTTTTAATTATTTTAATTTTTATTTCTGGTAATGTTTACTCTTTGCAGTGGCTGAATCCTTTCTTTCAGCAATGTTCAGGAGTTTCTTCGAAAATGTCGGGTTCAATTGATGATATTTATATTGAAAGTTGGATTCCTGATGGATTTTCATGTGAAGATGTACTTTATACGGAGAAGGTCAAGTGGGATGGTGAACGAATTAATATTGTTTCGAATGAAAATATTTGCAAAAAGATTAGGAATTTGGAGGTCAAGTGGAATAGAACTTGTATAGATGTATTATGTGGTGGATTACCAGAAAATTCCATGCACAATTTGATGAAACATTCGGATAGTTCAGTTGAGGAATGGATCAATGCATGTCAATATTGTGGAAATAACAGTGTTGTGTTTAGAGATTTGGTGAGGAGAAGGGAATGTAAAGCAAACAATGAGATTGTACAACAGGCCATTACCAATTTTCCAACTTCAATGCTATTTTGTGGAACATTCGAATATGGAATTCCATTCCTGTTCAATAATTCAAAATCTAAAACAAGTGAACTGTCCAAAAATGAATTTTCCTACTATTGCACTTGTTTATCAAATGGATACTACCAACCAAAATGTTTACCTTATAATAGTGACAAAATAATTCACATTGCCATTCGTGCATTGTTGGAATCTATTATTGTTGGAGAGTTTTTTATTGGATTATTTATTGTGTTTATTCCAAAACTGGTCCATTCAATCAGAACAAAGTCATTCTTTCACATGCTCACCATTTCTTACACAATGCTCAAATTATTGATAGAGGCAATATTTTACATGTTTGCTGTTGTGTTAGATCCAGAAGACGGTATTGCCTTAATTGTACCAACTATTATTGATTGTTTGAATATTATATTATTGTTGGCACTCTTCTCATGGTTGGGAGGTTGGATGAGGAAGGTTTTGGTTTTTTTCAATAAGAAGAATTTAATTTACAGCTTGTTGATTTATGGAATTCCATTTCTAATGTCATTTTTTGGAGTTGCAGTTCCAATAACTATGCTTCTTGTTTTGCCAAAGGAACGTGTCTTGACCAAAGTTTACTTTTTGAATGGATTTTCACTTGCTCTATTAGGTAAGTTATGAAATGGTTCGCAATCTATTTACAATTTGAATAGTATTCGTAATTTTTGGAATAATTATTGGAAGAGCACTGAAGAAAGTTTCAGATGTGAGCATTTGGAAAAGTCAGGTATGTTTCTTCATTAACCTTTTCTAAATTATATTCGAAATCTTTCAGTTTGCCAAATATCTTGTATTTATCACTCTAGTTTACATTGCATTCTGCATTTCTATTGCCCTAAGTCTTGGCATTTCCAATGAAAGTGCTCTGAAACAAACCCTCGACATATTATCAAGCTTAATTCTCCTTCTCGTTACAGCCAGTTTACTCAACATTGAATTCGAAATGGATGAATTGAAATCTTGCTATTCCTGTTGTTTCAAATCCAAACAAAATTTTTCCTCCAATCATTCACCACTTCTTCTTCATCATCATCCAGAACAATCTAGCACTAATTACTATTCTGAAGTTATTGGAAATTGAAACAATGAGCCAAACAGTAGTAGAAATGAAATCTCTGCTCGTACGTTTTAATTTTCCTCAGCACATCCAAGCTGCGTGCGCATCAATTTATCTTTTTCAAAAGCAATTTATTCCGAGTGGTCATCCCAGGGGCTTCCCAGGTAAATCATCTCCAGCACACTTCTAGGCACTGTGCTAGGAATCTGTGCTGGGATTGATCTGGGCACAGTTCTGAGAGGTGTGCTGAGAAGTCTTCTGAGCACTGTTCTGGGGGGTGTGCTAGTATGTGTGCTCAGATTGCTCACTTTACATTGTTCTCAGAAGACTTGATTTGACTTGTAGTTGAAGAAAAATGTTTATTGAAAATAGTTGTGGTCAACCTAAATAAATTGGAAGTAATCAACAAAAAAATGGCACCACATCACAGCCGTAATATAAGCTTAATCATCATTGATTCAGTGCTAACGAAAAGGCCAAGAAGAAACAGTTGATTTGAAGCACCATGAGTTCTGTCAGCCTTCTTCAAGATCATCCTCTTCGGGTCAGTTAAGGGCTCTTCAATAATGTATTCTTGTTAGTTTTGAATTAATAACAATAAAAGAAAAGTGACTTACAACTAATGAATCAACTCAATACCCTTCTCTTTGTGACAGTTGAAAATTTCAGATATTTAACAAAAAAATATGTTAATCATCAATAAATAAATCGGTTTAAACTTACATTTGTTAATGACTGCTGTTGCTGGTTTGATTGTGCGGACTAGGTTTTTAGTTAAATAAAAGTTGAAATGATAAAAAAACTTACGTTGATCAATTGTTTTAGTTTAAATTGGATTTAGGCTTGTTTTTGAGTTTCACTGAATAACTCAATTAATTCTGTTCAAATTGTTAATTATTTACTATAAACTACTTACTTTCTTCATTAACTGCCATGGTTCAGGATCAGATGATTTGGTTTAGGCATTTTTTTTTAATTGAAATTAATGTTAATAAAAATTAATTTCAATTAAAAAATAATAAAAATAGCAATTAATAAAAATAGATTATTTATAAATATGGTGAGTGGTATAACTTTCTGTTCATTTTGCTGACGAAAGAAGGAACTACAGTGTTGAACAACCATGATTGCTCACTTTCCAATAATTTATCATGATGTCAATTATGTGCTGAGCATACTTTCAAAGCTTCTATGCTGGAAAGAGTGCTCAGAACATATCGTTTCGGTTATCAACTGGAACCTTCAAAATACATTCAAACAAGAGAAGTACCATCCAATACGCAGAGGTTGAAGAGAGAAGATTTCCTGATGAGAGATGACTCAGATTAACAATGGTGGAGGGTCAAATTGTGCTGGGACCAGTGGTGTTTATCAATTTTTTTGTACTTATGCCTCAAAGTCTTCCCGGATGAACGCAGCGAATAAAAACTTCTTGCAAATCTCTCAAATAATTTCAAAAAAAAACAAAACAACAATCATCTCTACAAATTTATCAGAAACAAAAATGGCTACTAAACAAGCACTGTGTGTTGGAGGTACATCAGGTATCGGAAGAGCATTGGCAATTAAATTTGCCTCTCAAAAATTCAATGTTTCAATTATGGGAAGAAGTGAAGAAGCAGGAAAGGAAATTATTGAAGAAATGAAAAAATTGAATCCAGAAGGAAAGTTTGAAATGATCAAAGTGGATGCCTCTCTCATGAAGGATATTGAAAAAGTGTGTGAGGAATATAAACAAAATCATGATCGATTGGATTATTGTGTTCTCTCACAGGGAATTGCAAGTATGAATGGAAGAACAGAAACAAAGGAAGGAATTGATGTTAAATTGGCACTTCATTATTATGGAAGAGTTATGTTTGTGAGACAATTGCAAGATTTATTGAGATTGACATCAAAGAATTCAGATGTGAGAGTCTTGACTGTTTTATCAGCTGGTGTTCATTCACCTTACACTAAATTGGATGATTTGGATTTGAAACACAATTTTACATTGAAGAATGCAGCAGATGCAGCTGGATTTTACAATGATCTAGCCATGGATCAATTATCCAAAGAGGAAGGCAATCAAAATATTGCATTCATTCATCAAGCTCCTGGATTCATTGCCACACAATGGGGACGTGAAATGCCAGCTGTCGTGAGATGGACCACACGTTTCTTCCAAAACTTTGCCAGATCTCCAGAACAATGTGCCGACAATATTTACAAGGGATTAAGTTCAGAATCGACACGGAAGGGTTTCCATTTATTGGATGAACATGGAGAGCCAGCAAAAGTGACAAAGAGTCATAGCGATAGTATCAGAGAAACAGTTTGGAAACACACTGTGGAATTGTTAAATAAGGCCCTTGGAAAATAGTCATTTAAAAACTAATAATTTGTAAATAATAATTAAAACTAAATTAATGTATAGACTTTCCTTTAGTTTTAGTTTATTATTCCTCGATCGTTAAATATGTAACCAATTTCACCATCCTGAGCCATATACGACTTGAATCCAAAAGATTAAATGAATTTTACAGTTGTGAAAATCAAAGTTCATTGTCGTTGTAAAAAACAAGAAAAAAATGCCTCCAATTCAACTCTTCGGACCCACGTGCGTTTTTGTTTCATCAAATGATGAAATTTTTATCGCTGATTGCAACAATCATCGAATTAGAAAATTAAATAATCAGAAAATCATGACAGTAGCAGGGAATGGTGAATTGGGGTTTTCGAGTGATGGTGGATTGGCAATTAATGCTAAATTAAATTATCCAAATGGTGTGTTTGTTGTAAAGGAGGAAGTATATATTGCAGATTATCATAATCATCGAATTAGAAAGGTTTCGAATAATGGAATAATTGAAACGATTGCTGGAAATGGAGAAGGTGGATTTGAAGGAGATAATGGTCCAGCTATTAATGCCAAATTAAATTATCCAACGAGTGTGTTTGTTTCAGAAAATGGAGAAGTTTATATTTCGGATTATCTGAATAATCGAGTTAGAAAGGTTTTACAAAACGGAAATATTGTAACAATAGCAGGAAATGGAAAATTAGGATGTTCAGGAGATGGTGGTTTGGCAATTAATGCCGAGCTCAACTGTCCAATGAATGTATTTGTATTCAACGAAGAGGTATATATTACGGATTCAGCAAATCATCGTATTAGAAAGGTTTCGAAAAGTGGAATAATTGAAACGATAGCTGGAAATGGAAACGAAGGATTCAGTGGAGATGACGGATTGGCCACTCAGGCTCAACTCAATTGTCCAATGAGCACATTTGTAAACTCTAATGGAGAAATTTATATTACAGATTCTAATAATTTTAGAATTAGAAAGGTTCTAAAAGTGGAATAATTAAAACAATAGCAGGAAATGGAAATGATGGATTTGAAGGAGATGGTAGCTCAGCAACAAATGCCCAACTCAATTATCCAATGCATGTTTTTGTTTCTTCCAACGATGAAATGTATATATCCGATAGTGGCAATAATGCTATTCGAAAGGTATCAAGGAATGGAATTATTGAAACAATAGCAGGAGAAGGGCCTTATTCACAAGGATACAGTGGCGATGTTTCGTTTTGAAACTCTGTTTCTAACATTCCAATCAAAATGACCAACTCCGAAATCACAGGTGACTTGTAACCATTCTCCTTCTTTGTAACCTTCAATTTCAACTCTGATTGAATATCTCAGCGCTTTTAATTTTCAACCTCAAAAAAAAATGAAAGACATTACTATGGTACGTTTCGCGAATTTGATTTTTTTCCCGCCAACACTTTGGATGCTCCATTTACCCACTTTCATGAACCAAAAAATTACGTGGCGATTGGTTCATCATCATCACGAATATTATTTATATTTATTAATTATGTTATTATGAAATTTGCATGTTCGGTTTATTATGTGATCTATCATGTCGTTATCTTACATGTTGTTTTTTTTTAAATATTTCCAAAATAGGCGTATGTGCTGTGGGCACTTTGTTTCTTTGGTTTATTTGGTATTCATCGATTTTATTTGAATTCGTGGACGATGGGTATTGTTTACTTGTTCACATTTGGATTGTGTGGAGTGGGACAGATATTTGACGTTTTGTTGATTCCTGGATTGGTTGCCCAGGAGAATGGAACTAGCTCAAATAATAATAATAATGGATTAGTGTTTGGTTTTGGAAATAATATGTTTGCTGGTGGCAATTATGTTAACTTTAACAATGCTCAGCCTTATCAAGTCTCGAATGGAAATGCTGGCTATTCTCAATATTATGTGAATGATGGACAACAGCAACCTCAATCATATGTTCCACCTCAACAACAAGAGCAACAAGAGGGTGCTGAATCGAATGAATATGTACCACCTCAGCGAAATTCTGGATTTACAATGTACATTAATGGTCAACCTGTTGATTTGTCGAATGGAGGAACTATTTATATGGATGGCTCAGGAGAAGCTCAATACTACGCCAATGATGATGATGATAACGATGATCAGCATTTCAATAGTGTTTTTGATAACATGAGAAGAGCTGAGGAGAATAGAAGATTACATGATAGCATCCGTAGAACGAACGAATCAATTAACAGAAGTAACGAAATACATAGAGAAAATATTAGACGAATGAATGAAAATATCCATAGAACCAATGAGCAAAATCGCAGAACCAACGAGAATAACATGAGAATGCATCATCAAAACATGAACAGAATGCACGACAATATGAGAATGCATCAAAATATTCATAGCCAGAACATGCAAAGAATGCATCAACAAAATACTATGAATAATATCAATAGAATGAATACTTTCAGAAGATAAACCTATCCTTTTTACAAGTAGAAAGATTGTACTATTAGCAAGTTGAATAAATTAGCCCATCCTAAAATACCTAATGAGTTTATGGAAAAATTCAATTTAGCAAAACCAAACATGGAAATATTCCATCTAAACCATTATTGTAAATGAATAAAATGTTTGAGGATTTGCCTCCACATCAAAATACTAGCTTAAAAAATGTCAACTGGCCAAATATCATCCAAACCAACCTCATTCTCAAAGGAGGAAGTCAGAAAGCAACCAGAACAATCACCACCAGGTCTTGAGCATGTCATGCTCACTGCTCCACAATACGACGATCCAGACTATTACAAAGGATCTAACAAGTTACGTGACAAGGTTGCTCTCATTACTGGAGGTGATTCAGGAATTGGACGTTCAGTTTCAATCCTCTTTGCCAGAGAAGGAGCCAATGTGGCAATTGTCTACTTGAAGGAAGAGGAGAAGGATGCTCAAGAAACAAAACAACTCATTGAAAAGGAAGGAAGAAAATGTCTTCTTATTCCAGGAGATGTTAGAACTTCTGATTTTTGTAATCAGGCAGTTGAAAAGACAGTTAAGGAATTCTCCAAACTCGACATTCTCGTCAATAATGCAGCTACTCAGACTGTTCAACAAGATTTGACAGATATCAGTGATGAACAACTGGAAAATACCTTCAAAACAAATATCTTTTCCTATTTCTACATGGCAAGAGCTGCACTCAAGTATCTTCCAGATCAAACCGGTAGAATCATCAATACTACCAGTGTAACTTCCTACAGAGGCAAGGATGTCTTATTGGATTACTCTTCCACTAAGGGAGCAATCACTACCTTCACTCGATCATTGGCAAGTAATTTGGCTTCAAGAGGTATTCTTGTCAATAGTGTTGCTCCTGGTCCAATCTGGACTCCACTTATTCCAAGTACATTCCCTGAGGATAAGATGAAGGAATTTGGTAAATCTACTCCTTTGGGTCGAGCTGGTCAACCATTTGAATGCGCCACAGCTTATGTCTACTTGGCAAGTAAGGATTCTTCATACGTAACTGGTCAAACCATTCATGTTAATGGTGGTGATGTTGTTGAATAAATACCGTTTTGAAAAATATTATTTGTTGATGATTTTCCTAATATTAAAATAATATTACAGTCACGTCTCGAATAATGCGGTTTTTTATTATTCCGGAGGTCGATTTTCAAAAAAAAATTGCAACAACAACAAAAATAATTCGGAGTGTTATTCTTCAGCATGCTTCTTCTAAAGCACTTCATCATCTTCACTACCGTCCTTTGCAAGGCCTAATCCTGTTTGAACCCACTCACAATTGTTCTATCTTCTACTGAAGTTAATGCCATTGATGTCCAGTTAATTAGTTGCTGTGTTGAGACTTTAATGTCCTTCTTCTTATTGTTGATGATAATTTCTGCTTGCTCATCATACCATTCGGCTTGCAAATCTCTTAGCTTACATTGGATGTTGAATGACAAGTCACATTTACATTAGCTCTGATGCATTCTTTGGTAAGGGCATCTTCACTTTCACTTTCAATAAGTCTTGGGCATCTTTATGGCTGTCAAGATTATCAAAAGTTAGGATTTATGCATAAAACATATCAATTCATTACAAAATGGATGCAAATAATTTGGAGTGTTTTAAAAATCGACTGACTCCGCATTATTCGAGACGTGACTGTAGGTAATATAATATTATAATTATGACAATTAATAATAATAAATTGTGTATTTTTAACTAGTCCAATAATAATACAAAGGAATATGTGAATCTGGTCCAAAGGCACTTCCAAATTTGAATAAGTAAACGAAAATAGGAATTGTAAAACCAAATATTGATCCAGTGATGACTTGTATCCATGTGTGTTGATTATCTAAAATTCTTGAAAATAGTCCAATCCAAATCGCAGCTCCCATAATTAATAATACTATACATGGAAATATGAACCATCCTCTTCTTGGAGCACTTATTGCTCTACTAATTGTTTTTCCAATTCTACTATAGGACGAAAGCTGATTAAGAAATTAAAGAGGAATGAAATGAAACAACTACTTACTGCCTTGAGTTTTGCAAATAAATACAAGATTACAAACATCCAAACAGAAAACAAGTTGGATGCATGACCACTTGGGAATCCAGGTGTATTGTTCACTTGCATCTTGGTGAACCTACTTGGATCGGAACAAATCTCTTGGGGAAGAAAGTAAATAATATTATTATAGGGTTGTGCTCTTTTCAGGGCCACTTGTACAATCTTCTCTGGTATGGGATTACAAGTCTCCAGAAAGTTTGGCCTGTGAGCCGGATAGAAAAACCAAAAGAACATCATGAACAGCATGTTAAAAGCAAGGGATTGCAAGGTTCCTAGAGCAACATGATGAAAGTCGTGAAGATTTCTCACAAAAATCAGCTGAAATAGAATAATAACAACAGCTGGCACCACAAAGATGAATAGTGTAACAATGAGGTTAAAGCTGATGGTTTGTGTTCCAGTATTGGGATATTGAATTGAAGGATCATCCAATCTAAAGTAGAGAGTGTAAGGAAAATCAACATTGAACAAGATTGCTGCCAATATGCCTATCAGTACAATTCCCAACCACTCCAAAAAGTAGTCAACAACAATCTCATAGCTTGTCTTTTTGAGTGAGTCTTTATAACTCAGCTGGAATCGAGCATTCTCAGAAATGATGGGAGGGGTGAAGAAATTAATTCTAGTCTTTCCAATAAATAGAAATTTACACCCATTAACTCCTTCATCCACACTTGAAGTACTAGTATTATTATTCATTTTCTTTTTAATTTACTTTGTGATGATGACAAATTAATTAAATTCCAAAAGCTTCCTCTTCTCAATCCAGTAATTTTCCATATTTCACTTTAAAAAAATTAACAAGATATTCTTGCACTCATAACAATAACAAAAGACATTCAATTCTTGTCCTCTTCTCTTGTTGGTTTAAGCCACTGCAGCCGCCGACTCTTATCACTGTTGGGCCATTTTTTTAATTCAAATCTGCCCTTCTATTTTCCCGCCTTTTCTAACTGTAGGTTTTGCACTAGAAATGAACTTTAAAAAAATAGCGCAAGTCGCCACTTAAAAATCTTATTTTATGATGAAGGTGAATTAGAAAATATTAGTTGGCTAAATTGCGATTATTGTCGGTATTTGTTGAGGAGAATAATTGGCCACCACTACTCTGTTGATTTTCAAAGTCAAAAAAAAGCAAAGCTTTCAACGAGTGCATTCCACACCTTGGTTTTAATTTATTTTGAAATATTGAAGAAGGAAAGGATTCTCAAAATTGGATATTATTAAAAAGATTTAACAAAGAGGATTCTCACAACATTAATTCAATCAAAAACAAATAGCAACATCATGTCTTCAAACACCTCATCATCCGATAGTCCACTTTCTATTGAAGAACAACAGAATCAAGTTTTTGAACTTTTCCATGTTGCCACCATTTGTAAGAATGTTATCACAGATGCTGAAAGACTCATGGTTAGAAATTATCGTCAACGTCCTCTAACTGCATCACAACAATCCCTATTAGTGGAAACTTGTGCAATGAGAATGTTATATGGACAAGAGGGTTTGCCATGTGTTAATGAAAATAGTAGGAAACATTTTACAGAAAAAGCAACAAATCAAGATTTATATCATCGTAAGAAATATGTAAATGATGATGAATATTCATTCCAACAACGTACTAGTATGAACAAATCTAATTGGCAATTGAACGATGAATTTATTAGAAATGAAAATACTAGGTCGAAAATCTTCAATGAAATTAATGAGTGTCACAATAATAGTGCCGAATATAAGCAAAAATATAACGAGTATGATAAGCTGATTAGTAATGATTGGATGGAAAAGGGAAGCTTCTCTAGAGTATTCCCAGATGTTGTGAAAAATCTCTCTTCATCAAATGATTCAATTTCAATTCTCTCCAATTTGAAGAAAAAGCTAATGTCCAACTATAATAAGAATAGAATTGATTCGATAGTAGATGAACATTATCCTAAGGAAAAGAAGGAATTAATTGAATGCATTCAGAATAATATTTCCAGTCATCAATCTTTCAATTATCCAAACTTTTTAGAATTGTGTAAAATTCAAGTCAATCAATTTTACTTTAAAGCACTGACACAATCATGCTCAACTCAATTCAAAGGATGTATGGAAAGAAATGGAGATACTGTGCAGTCAGTTTCAATGCTTCAATCTATGGATTGTTCTTCTCAACAAGTGACACCTGAGGAAATTTCTTGTAAGAATGACTTTTTGAAATATTTCGGAGAGTTTGTGAGTGAAAATATCAAACTTCCAGAAACTCAAACACTTGTAAATAATGGATCAACAGATTTGTAAATACTATTAAACAAATCTTTGTAACAATGATTGTAATACTATCTCTACTTTGCAATACAGAGGCGGGCCTGCAATTTTGTAGTCTTTGTAATG